TGCATAAATACAAATCAATGGGTGGAAGGATGATTGAATGGATATAGAAAGTAAATGAATGGATGAATAAGTGAATGAGGAGAAAGATAGTGATACATAAATAGATTTTTTTTAAAGAAATGAATAAACGAATGAATAAATAAATAAATGTCTTGAATGAATAAATAGATGAATAACAACTGAAATGGAAAATGAAATTAGAAAAATAAGAATAGATGAAGATTTCAGAAAGGGGTAGGCAAGTAAAAAAAACAACAAATACAACACTGCATGCATACAGCAGTTTTGTTTAGAGAGAGAGAGAGATGAAGGGTGCGGGGGGATAACTTATAACATCATGAATAAAACGCCAAGGCGGGGGATTAAAAACAAAACTGATCACCCCCCCCCCCCCCCACCGAAACAACATTTGCCTAGCTATCTCCCTTGGGCAGATGTAGGGCGACCAAGCTAGATCGAAAGGAAATTCGATAGGGTGTTTTGTCATTCATGAAGTTCAAGCCCCCGAATGTAAATATTTGAGAAACAGTGAACGACTCTTTCGATAACAAATTAATACTAGTTTAAAGATCATGTGAAGTTCTGGTGAAAGTGAAAAGTAATTTGAACTTTCTCACTCGTCGTATGTGTATGTCAGCTTGGACGAATACCGTTGTAGAAATGTCCCCCTCAAAACGATTGCTCTTGAAGTATTGCCCTCTCTTTTTACGAAATAGGGCAAGAATATACATGTAGCTGAAACTTTTGGATAGGGAGAGAGTTGGTTTTGGACCACACGTTCAACGTGTTTCGTCATCAAACCCATTTCTGTGCGAAGTGCATACGACTTTCAGTAATATCAAGTCAATTATTATTTTGAGCTTTCCAAACATCGCAATGTACAACAATTCTTCTCATGTATATACTACGTAATCAACATTTCCCAATTGCTCCCAGACATTTTATGTCACAATTAAATTGCATGGCGGCCAGTAGCAGTGACGTAGCTGCATCGGGGCACGTGCCCCTCTCCCCAGTCGAATGGTGAAAAAACGAGAAAAGGACAAATGAGAAGGACGAGGAAGGAATATGTCTGGACCGCAACCCTGCACCGTCTCCCGCCAAAAGAAGAAGAAGAAAAAAAAGAAAAAAAAAGCGGTAGCCTTTTAGATTCGCATTTCATTTTCCGAGTTTAACCAGGATAATTCTTGTACATGCATTTCCAAATTTGGTTAACATTCTTTTCCTTCATTAAAAGAATTTATGCCGAGTTAACAACTGTTCCAAAGAAATGCCCAAATATGGATTACTTTGAACAAGAAGTAGAAAATGGTAAAAACATGTATCACAAATAACAGGTTTGTGTACCTTTCCCACGTGTAATATTTTGCCTTTTTGTATTTTTTTAAAGTCTACTTCCTTCTTGTCTTATATGTACATGTATTTATATTTAGCTACTGTCCTTCATTTGGTGCTACCTCAAAGAGCCAACAGAAAGATTTTATTTTTTTTTAACAATGAGGAACTAGATCCTAAAAATCAGACTTCTTATATACCATTTAGGAGCTAAAAATTGAGAATTAAAGCTAAAAATTTGAATAAACACTTTACAGTTTTCTGAAAACCTTTTTCAAATGTGCAACACAGTGGTCTCTTTGAGTTCTCAATGTTCATTAGTTATGTAAAACCAACATAATACAAATATTTAATTCTGCTGTGTAACAAGAACTGTCCTGACTCCTGAAGTTAGGATGCCAAAAGTTGACCGTTCTTTTGGAAGAGATATGATTATCAGTCATTATCAGAATGGAGGTCAAACAAAGGCAAATTTTATATTCATGAACTTTGTACAGCAAATATGCTCTTTAAAATATAGATCAATCATACTGTGTGAAAATAAAAGGTGGTAGTTTTCATTTTTTCTCTCTCTCAATGATTTGTTAAGGGAAATGAGGTGTGTAATATGAATTTCAATCCTTGAATAATATAATAGTATGATGCATGAAATGTCTATGAATATTAATATTCAATGAATGGTAAAAATGAACGATCTATCATGCATGTATGGTGTGCATATGAAGATTTTATAACTGCTTTGTCTGGTCTAACCTCAGACAAAATTAAATATTGAATGCAAGAAAAAAGATAAATGACAAATTCAATGTTTGTATGTTAAAAGTATCCATCTTTCATGCATAAAATGCTGGAAAATACATTGCATGCAATGTTTTAAGAAAACAAATTGAAAAATAAAGGTAATTTTATCTACATCTCTGACATATTCCATCTACCACAAAACCATATGGGCAACAAAAAAATAAACATAATATAATTATTACTTTTTGTAAACGCAATTTTAATAATCAGATTCAAATAAATGATTACAAAATCATAAATTGTCATATAACCAATTCAATGTACATGTACTCATTACAAACCAATCATAATTCATGTATTTTCTGATAATAATTGAATCCATCTGTTACATGTATATATATATTTTTTTATATGACAAGACAATTCTTATGGCAATTATAATTGTACAATGTAGAAGAACTTCAGGGGCAATAGCACCATGGGAAGTCATAATGCTTTTAGCTTGATCAATTAATACCTAGATATTCTTAGGATATAGTTGGTTGTTCACACTAGCATGAGCATCAATGCATGTTGCATAGTAGGTTGTAGATATACTCTTTATCTTCATTAATTAAAAAGCATAAGAGATAAACAATGACTTTACATTCCATCTGTCTAAGTGAAAATTTTGAAGGAAGAAAAGTCATTGAAGGTAGCAGTGAATACAGTGAAACCTGTCTATAAAGACCACTCAAGGGAAACAAAAAATGTGGTCTTTATAGACAGGTGGTCTTTCTATACAGGTGGTTGCTTAAGCAGGATTGACTGTACCTCTTTACATATTTAATTGGCTATTACAAAAAAAGAATGCAGACTTTAGGGATATTTATGCACAATTTGAAATGAAATAAAGCTACAAAGATTTAGGGTATACTAAAAACCCAGTGAGAAAAAAAAAGAAAATACAGAAATGGAAAGAAATATGAGGGAGAAGAAAAGCCAGAAAGAAAATGCTTGGTGTTCATGTTCTTGGCTACACCAGAATAAAGGACATATATCACACCACCCCTGCCCCCCAGGACATTAGAACATCATCCCCTGCCCCCCCCCCCCCCCCTCCTCCCCTCGGATTCTAAACAATACTGAATACACAATGGTGCTATAATTAGAGTCGGTCCCATGGAGTTTGTTTCCATGGATGAGCAAGAAACAGATTTAACAAAGACAGGCCTCATGCAAAGATCAGATGATAATACCGTTACCAATACAACAAACTCTCAATCAAAATCTTTACATACATCAGTCTCGTTCAATATACATGCGAGGTGAATAGTATGTGTATTTACCTTGACAACAAAGAAGATTAAGCCAATGTCTGTGGTTGGTTCATTTTTACCATAATGCTCATCAAAGTCACTTCTAAAAAAATACATTTCTATCCAAATAATCCAATACCTTCAAGTACTTCATGGCAAGATCGATTTTCGAATCCTGATGTAAAAGTGCTACCTTCATCGCAGTTGAAGAAATGAAATATTGCCTAGGAAACAAAGTAAATCATTTTTCGTCATAAACATTATATCTGCACAGCATAAGAAAGCATGGCATCACTTAATAGCTCTATTAAAGTGCTCTAAAATTAAATAAAATGTAATTCAATACAATTCAATTCAATACTTAATAGCTGAAGATAGAGAGAGGGAGGGAGGGAGAGAGAAAGAGAGAGAGAGAGAGAGAGAGAGAGAGAGAAAGAAAGAGAGAGAGTATCAAGACAATGTGCTGGTACTTTCAATTTCTCAATATCATTAATCAGTTTGCAGAACACCTGGCCATTCACCTACTAGTATTACATCTTTTATCTCTTACACTTCCTAATCAACCCACATCCTCATCCTATTACTGAAAACGTGATTGAAAGAATGAACCCTTTATCTGCTCAGGTCGATTAACCAAACAACCAGTGGATCGCCACAGTTGCCTTCTGTCACACATATGCTGTGTATGTCAATATATACTCCGAAAATAACGTGGTAGTCAAGGCAACTCGATTTGTAGCGGACAAAGATTTCATCAAGGCAATATGAATGTCCTAATCAAGTCATCAGCTGTACCCTTTGTGCCCATTTCTTTCTAATCATCATCACCTCTTCTCTTTCAGAATCCCATTCAAACCCCTTCTACGCCGCGGCCTGCAAATCCTACCAACAAAACTAAGTTTTTGACGAAGTGTTGGACTTTATATTTCAGTCACACAACACTATTAAACCAACCCAAAACCAGATCAACCGATTTAGGGCCATACCATACGTTGTAATGTCAATTATTGTTTGGCGTCTTGTGCAAATCCCAACCCAGATTTTAAGTGATGGGCAATGTGTTTACACAAATATCTCAGTGACACTGCCAAACCAACTCTAAATCAATGGATTGATCCTTGGCTGTTCATCGTAATGTCAATGATTGTTCGGTGTCTTGAAGGTCTGGTGTCGGTCTCATCGGTGTGACTTAAAGGTACTATGTCGAATTTGCAGGCCAAAAAATGAAAAGGTTAAATTCCAACCGCATTTGACAGATAATACTAATTTAGAACTTCCATTAAAAAAAGGGGGTTTGAAAATGTCTTTAAGTGGGAAAATAACGACTATTAGTTGTCATATCGACTTAAGTGCTACCAAGTCAGTAAGTAATAGTCTGATTTTCAGACCATTGTACCGAATGGTTGTACATTTTGTGCTGCACAAAGATTCAATCAGTTAAATTTTGGCCATTACAAGAAGTGGGTTATTGATGTAGACAAATGCTCATGTACCCTTTACAGCTCATTTTATGTATGTTATTACCAAAGAAGAAAAAAAGCCAGTCACTCACTCAATAGTGTCTGACAGTGAAGTCTAGCAAGTTAACGGGTTTTCTTGCATAATTTGAATATTAGGACACTGCTAACATTTAAATTTCACAGATAGACATACATTACATATTCATAATTCCTGCAAAGTTCTACAGAATTTGATGTTGGCTGCAAAAGGGACAGAGTGTCTTTAGTATAAGATTGGCAACATTCATTGGCAAAAATCTTTCTGATACAGAAACAGACGCATCCAGTCTGCAGTTTAGTCCCGTGGTTGATATCATATGTTATGCCGAATACATCTGTTAAACAAGTTGATTCTATTCAATTAAATTCAAATCTATTCCATTCAATTCAATATGATCAATACAAGCCATAAAACTGCTGTTAAAGTGAAAGTTCATTACGACACCTGTTTGAATACTTATTGGCACCGGAGTGATTGAAAAAAAGTAACACATACATGTAGTATAATTCAAGCCACAGGGGAATTACTATTAACCCATATACAGGGATATCGATTGGTTTTAACCGGTTATTTTACTGAATGAGCTTGAAAAGAGACTGGTAGAGTCCCAGTGCATGTGCCAATCAATATTATAAAGCCTGAAGGCCACGTAGCCTGAAATGGGGCTATGGCCTAAAAACAGGCATCCCTAATTTTGAACATGCAGTTAAAGTTCTTGCGGCATCATTTAGATGGTATATTAATTTGTATTCTGTCACACAGCATGATTGTAAATCCAATAGCACCACTCTACGGATGTTATAAAGGTACTGTTACACAGCTCTGTTTCCCAATGTTCGTGTACAGCTTCACCTGATTGTAATTTCATCATGTCTTTTTGCACCTTTGATGCCAAAGTTCGGAGGAAGATTGGTCCGGTCCTGGGGTCAGCTGCTCTCCTCAGGGACAGTGGTAGAGATCCTCAGTCCATGCATCTCTTTCACTTCCTCGGCTAAAGCCTATGATGCAGTCATAAAAATATAAATGAATGATAAATTAATGAATGAATGAACGAATAAATAGATAGATAACAGGATGGATAGATAGACAGACAAATAAATAAATAAATGAATAAATAAATAAATATACAATAAATTTGTGGCAGTGTCGTGGTCAAGTGGATATGTCACAGGACTGTGGCTCACAAGGTCTGGGGTTCAAGTCCCGCAGCGGCACTAATGTCCTTTGGCAAGACATTAATCTACATTTGCCACACTCGACCCAGGTGAGGTAAATGGGTACCTGGTTGGATTATTCCTTGAAAAGCACTGTGTGCTGATAACGCCTGCTGGAGCTGAAGCTAGGGTAATCATTTCCAAAGCTCTTTGGAAGCACATAGGAATGTTATATCATAATGTGTGCTTTACAAGAACAACTATCATTATTATCATTAAATGAATAAATAAATAAGTAAATAATCAATGAATCAGATAAATGAATTTACAACAAACAAAAATTACTCAGGAGTAGAGAATGATTTAACTCTGAGAAAAGAAAAGAGCTCTGAACACTTGAATCTTGAATCCGAACACGACTGCAAAGATATTCAAGAAAACAACTAAGAGGCATTTTGAATGCCTATTACAAGTACATTGTATATTGCCCATCATAATAGTAATCAGGTTCAGATTATGTTATATTTACAAAGGTACACAAGAGGCCACTGAAATTGCCACATGTATATTACCTATAGTGATCATGTTCAGATTTTGTCATGACATTGTAATTTTTGCACATTTCAAAATGAGATGAAAAATCTGCTGAAAATGCTTCAGGGTGGTATTGTTTATGTCTTTGCGATCGAGTTTCAGGCAAATCAATAAAACACATGAGAATATTCATGAGGAATTCTCACATTTCACAAGTACAAGAAGCAGGAGCAAATCCAAAGAGGCCTCCTAAAGACATTTTTTTTAAACACCAGTATTCGAGGAACATGGTGGGGGTTAGAGAATGGCATATTCAAAGAAAAAATATAATTTTATTTTTCTCAACGGATCCCTGCTCTTCCACTCCCCTCCCCCTCTCTTTCTCTCTCTCTCTCTCTCTTTCTCTCTCTCTCTCTCTCTCTCTTCTCTCTCTCTCTCTCTCTTCTCTCTCTCTCTCTCTCTCTCTCTCTCTCTCTCTCTCTCTCTCTCTTGTTGTCATTTTCTACATCAGGTTCCTTTTCAATTCTTCTTTTTCTGCCTACATTTTATATTTGTAAATAGTTGTTCATGTTTATTATCAATTTGAAGTGCAATATATTACACAATTCATCTAAGTTTTTAATTTCAATACATGTTACTTGTAAATTTGGTGAATGTTTTGTACCATTATATATATTTTTTGAACAATTATATTATTAAACAACTATATAAACTCTGTAGGTATCAGTCTCAAGGCTCTTTTGGGCTGTTTGTTGTTGGTCATTGGTTGTTCTGTTTTTATTCAAAATATAAAAATAAACAGGAAAATAACAAGTCTTATGCAACTGTAAATCAAAGGGCAATCCAGCCCAACTTCAATCTTGATATTCAACTGGTTGCTATTTTAAAGTCACAGCTTTCAAAACTCCAAACATAAAAAAGAAAACTTTTGAGAGGTAAAACCCAGTACAAAGGTTACGGGAGAGATTACGAAAGAAATTATCGAAGGGATGGAGGAAGAGGACAAAGACAGAGACAGAGTGAGGTGGTTTCCATAACAACAGTCAAACAATGAGTTAGGGAAGTATACTGAAAGAAATCAGTACAAAGGAACCTAAATTAGATGAATACAACAATAATGCTATAAAAGGACACCTTTACAAATTCTCATCCAGTTTCGATCAGTGTCTTTCACCGTGAAATTCACTGATCACACAACTTCACAAATGTTTCATGTTTATACATCCATTATATTTCATTTTGTACAATATTGCTGTGATTTTAAATCATTCAACAATGTCATATCTAGGTCAGAAAATACCATAAAAAGGATTTTGAAAATTCTATCTCCCTTATTTTTCCCTCCTTAATTGTTTTCATAGAAAACATGGTTTAAGGAAGTAGAAGAGGGGAAACAAAAGACTTCATCCAGGACTCTCTCCTCCCCATTTAACAAAAAATTATTATCATCAGTTATTACTAACAATAAAAATTGATAACGATCAAATGATGATAATAATGTTATTGTCATCATATCATCATTATCAATATTATTTAATCTTTTTTAATACAGGGTAGCCTGATCAGTGAAAAACATGGACTGTTTTCCTGTTCTCCGTGAGGGGAGGGGGGGGGGCGCACATGACTTTATCGCTGAGCAAATGTATGCTACATGGTGCGAACCCTCCTACCCTTTCAAAGACACTAATAGAAATGCTCAGACTTTCACTCACGAGAGCAATCACGCCAATATAAACTTGCAGCTTAGCCAACAAATAAATATACCAATCACTTTCAAAGGCCCAAATAAGAAAAGCCCTCAAACACGATCGTGTCACGTCGGTGAGAAAGTGAACCACGTCTGATCCCATAAAATAGAATCCGAGGGCCTCTATTGAAAAGGGAAAATCCCCAATTGCAATCTGAACTCACTTTCCACTTAGCCATGTTGCCTCCAAACCATAACATCACCATGAAGAGCTCGAGTTACAATTAGGTTGTCATGAATACATGCACGGGGTGGCACACTCTATACTGTTATAGCTGCAGGGCCTTTCACATTTTGAATAAAGAGAGAAAAAAAATTGTATGAAGAATCGTCTATCAAAGAAACAAAACATTCGCAGCCCCGGCCGGGGTGACAAAGCACACTAGGTTTGTAGCTATGGGGCTCTTTCACATGAATAGAGAGAACAGATTGCAAACAAAAACTTTCATCGAAGAAACACAACATACACTGACCGTACACATGATGGGATGATGAAAGTTACACTATTGCAGCCAAGAGGCCCTTTCATATAGATAAAAAGGGGAAAAAATATATAAAGAAACTTCTATCAAACAGACACAATACAATAACTGTATAGTACTAGCTAGTGTAAAACAGATGCAGCAAACCACTACGATAAAACTGCTACTACAAAATTCAAGTCCTTTTAAAGATAAACTTGAGTTCTGGTAAAAAAAGAAAATGAATTCTCACAGAATCTAACGAAACTCACACTAAATGTTCAAGATTACAAATAAATGTCATGTGCCAAACAATTTTGGAAGAAAATGTATACTGGCTGAGTAATGAGCATAGAAAGATAAGGAAATCAGGGTAGTACTAGCCCAGACACCATGTGTATTGTCCCATATACATCTTTCTGTGTAAGTGATTGTTACTTTACCAAGACTCTGCCAAATTTATGATGATTTTGATGACTCCAGAACCTTGCATTACACACCATTACTTACATGCTATATGATCCACTTTTCTGATCCATTCCACACCTTTTCTTTCACAATGCAATCGCATTACCAGAACTCAAGTTTATCAGTGAGTACTATGTGTTTCAAATATGCTTTTATACCAGAACATTGTCTACGGCCATCCATTAAAGTGCATCATTCGGCTAATGCAGCTCTTTGACGCGGTTTACCGAGTTATGTCTGAACTGGGCTTGAAGATGGAAAATGTTGTAAAAACAACCTTGCAGGGAACAGCATGGTTGGTATACATACATGAACACATTCTTATTTGACCCTACACTACCGGTATATTGCCTCTTGCCATTCATTCAAATGGCAAGTTTTGCTGTCATTTTTGTCCTTCTTAGTTGGCGTTTGTCTGAACTAGGCTTTAATTACAACATACCGGTCCTGTAAATGTTGCAAAAGCAACGTATTATACATACCGTATTGTCTTCCTAAACAACATTCACACAGTTAGTCAAGTCAACATTGCATCTTTCTAAAGTTCTCGTACGAAACGATGCCCAATCCTGCTTTACAAGATTTCATAAAGATCTTTACAGAAAGAAAGCTTAAAATCTTCAACACAACAAAAGAAAAAATCTTTCAAAAAAGACCTGGGGCCCGTTCCATAAATGTTTTATCTATAACAAATGCTAAATTTCTATGACAAATTTGCTCTCAGCCAATCCGATGCCTTGATTTCAGTAGCTTTTAACAGTAGCTTGTAACTTGTTATTAATATCAAGTTTTATGAAACATCGTCCTGAACCTACAGCCATCACATGAAATGTATTATTTTCCACATACAATAAACTGAAGTAGATCACCAGGGAGACACAACACAGATGATTAGGGGCATTAAAACCTCAAGCGAGAGGCAACTACCCATAGACACGACAAAAAAACCTGAAAAAAAAAAAATCCACTTCTGTAAACGTTCGCTCTCAAATAACCAGTGAAATGACTCTCCTTGCTTCCGTGCTGTGGCAAACAGAGCAGCAGCAAAAGGCACGTACGCACAACTTACACCAAAAAAAAAAGCAGAATCATCGAACACCGACATGTTTTTACTTTTTTTCCCAGTAATGTAAATGGAAGTACAAAAGAAATAAGATGTTTTTCAAAATGGTTTTCCTGTTAAAGGTACTATGTCCCATTTGCAGGCCAAAAAAAGGAAAAAGTTAAATTCCAACTGCATTTGAATTTAAGATAATACTAATTTAGAACTTCCCTAAAAAAGGTGGGGCTTGAAAACGTCTTCAAGTGGGAAAATAACAAATATTAGTTGTCAAATCGACTTTAGGGCTATAGAGCCCAAAAGTAATAGTCTTGATTTTCAGACAATTGTACCGAATGGTCATACGTTTTATGCTGCGCAAAGATTCAATCAGTTTAGTCTTGGCCATCACAAAAAGTGGGTTATTGATGTAGACAAATGCTCATGTACCCTTTACAACTCTTTTCATGTACATGTATGTTATTACCAAAGAAGAAAAAAGGGCAGTCAGTCACTCAATAGTGTCTGACAGTGAAGTCTAGCAAGTAAACGGGTTTCCTTGCATAATTTGAATATGAGGACACTGCTAACGTTTAAATTTCACAGATACATACATGTAGGTTGATACATGTTTCACATACATGACATATTCATAATTCCTGCAAAGTTCTACAGCATTTGAGGTTGGCTGCAAAAGGGACATAGTACCTTTAATATGTAAATGTGCCTATTTGTTTCAACAACAACAAAAACACAAGAAAAAAAATAGGTCAGTTCAATCTCTTTCTAGAGTGAAATCCTCAAGCCATCGGGGGGAAAGTAATCCCTGAAGCTCCAATGCGTATTCCCTCATCCATTCATTTGTCTATTCAATTACCGCACTGCCTCATTAGTTTTACCAGGTTGTTGATCGACGTAATTAAAATCATGTTGTATAATTGAATGGCATAAAACAGTGTTGTACATCGAAACTCAAAAGCCATCCTTTTTTGGAGGCTTAAATTCAAGACTTCAAACTGTGCTAAGAGTTGGTAAATTGTTTCTATGTCTCTTTCAGTCAGGCTTTCACAGTGAGTGAGCTATATGGATATATCAGTTGAAAAAGAATAACAATATATTTTCGACACCCCTCCAACAGCTTGTGAATTCTCCTTCATCTTTGTAAGGGAAGGGACCTGCAAATGACCAAATGACTTGGACTTGACCAAAAACTCTGGACCAGTCCTATACATGTTATAGCAGGGATGCCAGTTACAATTGATCAGAGGGCCTGAAAAACACACAGAATGAGCTATGGTCTAAAAATAACTTGCCAGGGCCTGAATTCAGGCAATTGCCTAAAAATTGGCATCTATAGGTTTGAATATGAATGTACTCCAGGGCTCCACAATAAAGGGGGTCCGGATTGACCTTTATTTACAGTTTGTATGCATGAGCCCTATGTAAAAATTTCAAAATTTGGGGGATCATGGAAATCCCATCCCGTCCAGGAAAAAGTTTTGAGAACCCCGGACCCGGTATAAACTATACATGTCATCCTGCACTAGGGGGTATTTTTCATGATACAGCTATTATCATTCTGCAAAACCTCTGCACAAAAGTAATAAAATAGAAAATAGAAGTAGACATTCAAAGTGAATCCCCCTCCCTGATTAGGGATAATCAATGAATACATAAAAACCTTGTCACCTTTTAGAAAAATCCTCAGTAGTGTCCATTTTGATGTGAAAGAAAGTCCACCGAGGCATTAAGCATGAATCACTTGGATCATTTGATGGATTATTTTTCTATACAATACTCCCCCTTCCCCCCCCCCCCACCCCGAAAAACAAACTCAAACAATTTTTTTAACAAAACAAAGTAAACCAAACAGCCTTCTTTTCTTTATCTTTAGTTCAAAAGAATAATCGACGGGTCAATTGATACGATTGTTTACATTTTTATTCAATTTAAATCTCAGCTGGAGCTTTAAAGCTCTGAATAGTGGTGAAAGGAAGGGAATTTCCCTCTTTAAGCTTCAAGTGAAAAACACACCGGGCACTGAGAAACTGACCTGGAGCCTGGAGGTTATTTTTAGCTGGTTAGCATTCTGCCATCGTGCGCCTTTTGTTGGTGTTCTGGACAAAATCAAATTGGCACTTACCATTTGTTTAGTCCTTCCATTTTAATGCATCCATTAATTAATTAAATTCCAATGCTGTTCCAACTACCAGCCCTTCATTTCCACAGTATTTAATGTTATTGATCTATAAATTTCAGAGTATATATAAAACATTAAACAAAGTACATTTAAGATCACCCACCATTGCTATAATAAAGAAATGATAGAATAAGCAAGGAAATTGATATATCACATTCAAAGGCAAAATATTAACCTATGCAGAAAGTATCTATTGTGTGAAAATGATAGCTAAAATACAAATATCACACAAGAAACAAGGATGAGGAATCAAGGTTTTGAATGCCTGCAAGATATGTATAAAGAAGTCTATGAGGCTGTTCACACCACAATGAGATAGCGCGGTCTATCGTAGCACCCCCTTTTTTCTAGCGCGCGCTAGACCGCGCTATCTCTCGTGGACCACCCCCAAAAGGTGCTCCAGTGGCCACGCCGTTTTGGCTCGCCGTAGCTCGCTGTTGGGCGGACCAAAACGACGTTGTACCTTCCAAACCGCAGAGATCTCTGCCGGTGTGAACAGCCTCATTAAGACTAAAGGAAACATATTGGAGTAATAATTGTGGGAAGTATTCATCAGTCAGGCCCAACATTTTATTGTTTTACTTTTCAGACTATATGTCAGACTATGTTAAATTTGTGCTCAAAACAAATCTGAAAACAAATGTATGGCAGAATTTTTAAAATCATGTTTAGCGTTCTTTTTTAATGAAAAAAATGAAAAACATACTGCTGCAATGATCTTTTTGGAAGAAAAAAAATTGAAATACAATATAACAGCTGGTGACATTCTTTGGAAATGTGCCAGGTGGCCATTTTGAAGAAAAAAAAAAAAAAGGGCCTCCTCCTACCTTAAAAAAAAAGGCAGGACGTTAAACGTGTTCTTAAAAAATTATTTAGCTTAAAACAATCATAAGCAAATTATATTTCTGCAGGAAATACCAGGTACTACTGCACCAAACCTTTGTTTACTAGGCATTTCTGTTGCCTGGAGCAAACAACAGCTTGGATAGAGGTTACTTTGTTCAGCTTGTATAGCACCGGGGATTCACTTCGACAGTGTACATGTAAAGAAGGCACTGGTCCTGTGAATCGAGGGTTGTTGTAACAAAATCACTGAGGGTCAGTAAAATAATATCTCACTGAAAGCTTTGTCTTCAATCTTCATTAGGCTAGAACAACCGTGGTAGCACCAGGCCAAGGATAAGAACTCACTGGTTACAGATTGTAACTACAGAGGGCAGCACAACATATTCAAGTCTGAGCCATATGTACACAGTTTTGACAACCTGATTACAGTGTAGAATTAGAGCACTAAGCCACATATCCAATGAAATACAACTTGATATAAATGAAAAACAGAATGAATGTTGAATACAAATATAAAGGAATATACCAGGATTTACCCTTTCATTATTGCACAAAAGCAAATCCAAACCTCATTTTCCATACCCCTCCAAATTAAGGGTAAACGAGGGGTCAAATTTGCAGAAGTTAAAGTGAGGACATAACATGTGGATCCAATGGGTTCACCTATGCAGCTGAGGCAATGAGCCGTGCTTAATTAATACAAAGTCATTCTGAATATGCACAGATGATGTCATCAAGTCGGTAGCAAGTTTTTAGGTCGACAACTTCCGATTTTCAAAGCTTTAGATTTTGAGTTTTCAGAGAGCTGATACTCCTCTGACAGACACTTACATGGCATATAATTGATATTATTGTAATCTATGGCTTATAAGATTCACGTTCATATAAAATTCATCCGTTTCACTTCTCAACACATGATCCATCTATCCCCATTCACTTCTCTTTACCACCTCTACTAGTTTCCACCAGGGGGAGGGGGGGGGGGGGGGGGGGGAGGGTCGCATTTCACAGAACTTATCATCAGTGACAAATGACATTTTTTTGTTATAAGCTTCTGAAATCCTCGCTTCTGATTGGTTATCAGCAGATTTGTCATTGAAAAATGGCTTTGTGAAACGGGTCCCAGACCAAATCTATCATATATATTTGACAGTTTCATACCACACATCTTCCGTAGCATGGCTCTTTCTGTTCTCCTCAAGATATGTTCTTTAAATGTCTTCACATAACAGGTTTATGAACTATATGCCATCGCTGTTCTAAGACAAGCCCTATAGATCTTACCTTTTATTCTCAGTATAAAACTTCTACCAGCTTTGTCTTTGTATCTTATGATTTTGTCTTGGTTTATTTTTCTTTGTATTAAGAGCTTTCCATGCCTCAACCACCCCCGTAAGTATTGTCTTTAAACAGGACTGCTTGCCTGACAAAGCAACATGTACAATGTAAGTTGCTTTAACCACAAACATCAAGTTTGCTACTTCAGTACTGTTGACAGTATGACATCACATGTCTATGTATATAATGGAAAATGTAAGGGATGCTCTAATAGAAATTATGACGAATACAGAAAATGATCTTACATTCATTCAAAGGGAAAAGATAGTTCTTTGAAAAGAAGGTCGAATGACAGAAGGAGAGAACCTGAATGCTAAAAAAGTAAGAAAATAATTTTTTAATTATCAATAGTTTAATCAATCAATTCTTTTTTCACAACACATTTGTTCTTACCTTGTTAACCAGCGTGTGTTGTTGGACAGTTCTCTTGCCTTTAAACACATCCGATTCAACATGGACTTGATACATAGCTCCACAACCACCTACGTGACATTCAGAAAATAAAGACAGACAAGCGAAATGAAGAGAAAACTGTCACCGACAAAATGTTATTCTACACTTGCGCTTCTTTACACAGGTGTGATAGCAATTGGTCCTACATCTACATGTATCACCAACTTTTTTTGGATAATCGCTCTTCATTATTTATTTCTATCAACTTCTTAACATTGTTAACAAAACAAAAAATCCTTTTAATTAGTAACTACATTATTATTACCGTAATCACAAAAATGCATTGTATATAAAAAATAAGGTTGATTCCAGAAAATAGACAGAGAACTGATACACATTGCATTGCATAGGTTATCCATATATTTTGTTTATACCTTACCGTATCTCAATTTTTTTGTTTAATGAATTTAAATTCATCTATAAAATTCAGCGGGATATTCTTGCGCTGGTAACAGGGCTTTTCATATATGGGATGGTATTAAGAACTCCTGATATTTTATTACGAATTGTGGGAAATGGACTAAAACCTGGGCAATAACTATAACAGCATAGTATCTTGGGGGGGGGGGGGGTACTCAGATTTGGTTTGGACTGGGGTGTGCCGCTCAAGCCTCGAAACCCCTACCCATTATTAGGGGGGCATTTGGGGCTTTATTATTTTGAAGAAATAAAACGGACCCATTTTTATTAGTATTTTTCTTAAAAAGTGACGCATTAGAGCGACACACCCCCGTATGTCCTAATATGTGAGTAACTCCCCCCAGGTAACATGTTCCAGGATTTTTCCCCCTTTCTGATAATCCTGATTCCATCCCTATACTGTATACAATTATGCAACAAGGTAGACCAAAATTAGTCTATTTCGTTCAGGGATATGTTCTGCCGTGACTGTGTGTCTTTACCAAATTGGAGGAGACTCAAGAGTATGGTGGCCCTGAAGGGACATCGCGAATAGACTAAATCGTGAAAAATATGCGATAAAATTCACGATATCGTCAATTTTATCGCATATTTTTCACGAAGAAATTCACGAAATTGACGATATCGTGAACTTTATCGTGAACTTTATCGTGAACTTTTCACGATGAAATTGACGATATCGTGAATTTTATCGTGAAAAGTTCACGATATAAAGTTCACGATATCGTCAATTTTATCGTGTACTCTATCGTGTACTCTATCGTGTACTCTCCTGACGGGCGCTTCGTAAACAAAACCAGCCCTAGCTGGGGGAGACAGAGAGAAGGAAAAAAGGGAAAGGGAAAGAGAAGATAAAAGGAAAGAAAGAATAATAAGAAGAAAAGAGGGAACGGGGGGGGGGGGGGGGGGGGGGGGGGGGGGGGGGGGGGGAAGGGCTCTTGCCTCCTCCTCACTCCCCCCCCCCCCCTCCCCGCCAAAAAATAAATCAGAGAGAGAGAGAGAGAAGGGAAAGGGAAAGGGAAAGAGAAGATAAAAGGAAAGAAAGAAGAGGAAGAAGAAGAAAAGAGGAAAACGGGGGAAGGGCGAAGGACTCTTGCCCCCCCTCCCCCCCCCCCCCCCCAAAAAATAAATCAGAGAGAGAGAGAGAAGGGAAAGGGAAAGAGAAGATAAAAGGAAAGAAAGAAGAGGAAGAAGAAGAAAAGAGGGAAACAGGGGCAAAGGGCTTTTGCCTCGTCCCCCCGCCCCCCGCCAAAAAATAAATAAGAGAGAGAGAGAGAAGGAAAGGGAAAGAGAAGAAAGAAAGAGAAAAACGAAAAAGAGGGAGAATAGGAAAGAAAGGAAAAGAAAGAAAAGAAAGGAGGCAAGAGCCCTTCGCCCCTGTTTCCCTCTTTTCTTTTCTTTTTTCCTCTTCTTTCTTTCCTTTTATATTTTCTTTCCCTCTCCCTTCTCTTTCCCTTTATGGCGGGAGGGGGGAGGGGGAGGTAAGAGCCTTTCGCCCTTCCCCCGTTTCCCTCTTTACGTCTTCTTCTTCTTTCTTTCCTTTTATATTTTCTTTCCCTTTCCCTTTCCCTTCTCTCTATCTCTCTCTCTCTCTCTCTCCTATTTATTTGTTGGCGCGGGAGGGGGAGGAGGCAAGAGTCCCTCTTTTCTTCTTATTCTTCTTCCTTTCCTTTTTTATTCTCTTTCCCTTTCCCTTCTCTCTCTCTCTCTCTCTCTTATTTATTTTTTGGGCGGGGGGATGCAAGAGCACTTCGCCCCCGTTTCCCTCTTTTCTTCTTCTTCTTCTTCCTCTTCTTTCTTTCCTTTTATCTTCTCTTTCCCTTTCCCTTTCCCTTCTCTCTCTATCTCTTATTTATTTTTTTGGCGGGGGTGGGGAGGGAGGAGGCAAGAGCCCTTCGCCCTTCCCCCGTTTCCCTCTTTCCTTCTTATTCCTCTTCTTTCTTTCCTTTTATATTTTCTTTCCCTTTCCCTTCTCTCTCTTATTTATTTTTGGCGGGGGGGGGGGAGGAGGCAAGAGCCCTTCGCCCTTCCCCTGTTTCCCTCTTATTCCTCTTCTTTCTTTCCCTTTCCCTTCTCTCTCTCTCTCTCTCTCTCTCTTATTTATTTTTTTGGCGGGGGGGGGGGGGGAGGTAAGAGCCTTTCGCCCTTCCCCCGTTTCCCTCTTTCCTTCTTCCTCTTCTTTCTTTCCTTTTATATTTTCTTTCCCTTTCCCTTTCCCTTCTCTCTCTCCTTATTTATTTTTTGGCGGGGGGGGGGGGGGAGTGAGGAGGAGGCAAGAGCCCTTCGCCCCCCCCCCCCCCCCCCCCCCCCCCCGTTTCCCTCTTTTCTTCTTATTATTCTTTCTTTCCTTTTATCTTCTCTTTCCCTTTCCCTTTTTTCCTTCTCTCTGTCTCCCCCAGCTATAGGGCTGGTTTTGTTTACGAAGCGCCCCTCAGGAGAGTACACGATAGAGTACACGATAGAGTACACGATAAAATTGACGATATCGTGAACTTTTCACGATAAAATTCACGATATCGTCAATTTCATCGTGAAAAGTTCACGATAAAGTTCACGATATCGTCAATTTCGTGAATTTCTTCGTGAAAAATATGCGATAAAATTGACGATATCGTGAATTTTATCGCATATTTTTCACAATTTAGTCTATTCGTGATGTCCCTTCAAGGCCACCATACAAGAGAGCGTCAAAAGACAAAATATGTTTAAAAAACCCCTCCAACAATCCCTCCAAGCAGAAAGTGATCTCCTCTTTCTCACCAGATATATCTTCCACCTGGATGTCTGTAGCAGTTGGAAACTTTTCCTGGAGAACGCTTTTTATTCTTCTTTCTCTATCCATTGCATCTTGTACACCCGATAGACCCCTTGGTTGCAGAGCTGTCAACTAGAAGAAAAAAACAATGAAACAAATAAAAAATAATGTTACATGTATTTGGTATAACTAGACTTCTATGTTTTTATATTTATATCGTTTAATTTATACTGATAATATCAAAAGTAATAATTTAATTAATAATAATAATAAAAATAGCAATTGAAATAATAATAATAGGCTTGATTAATAATATCACATTACTTTTGTATACTATCGCTAGCTTATAATGGAACTAATCAACTCTTACTGCATTACATTAATTATTATATCCCTTCTATGAATATTCATGAGTTTTCTAAATACATGATTGGTCAATTGGTGGTCACATGATAAAATATAATTTCGCTCTTTGAAACAAATCTCTGCCAGAGCTCCAAATATTTTCCACTATTTTTTCATGGGCAGAACTGCGCATGCTCTATGGATTTTCAGGTAGAAAAGCATTGTGACATCACATCATGTTCAGTCAAAAATAATGCGCAATTAGCATGTCTCATTAAATGCCCGTTTATATAATTGTGCGAAGGTTAAATTGACAAATTCAAACTGATTGTAAACTTCTCCAATACCTGGCCCAATGTGGGTGACATAAGAATAAAGTTAAAAACCATATGCCATCCATTCATTAAGTCAGACTTTCGGATCGTAACGAAGTGATATAAAACAAATATACCAAGCATTTCGTTCGTAACTCGTAAGAATAGTGGAAATCATATATCTTCGGAGGGACTGGCAATAGTACTAAGCCAGTCCCTCCTCAGATAAATAATTTCCACTATTCTTTCTCACAGCTTCGTATATTTGTATACTATATAGAAGTTATTACAATTTGAATTACTTACCATTCTTCTTGTGACGTTTGTAGTACTGCGTATTATAGCTTGAAACATTGTAGACTAGTCAATAATCAATTGAATGCGAGTTTTACTTGGAGCTTAATATGAACTGGAAAAATGAAAGGGGTAACCGGTACCCAGTAGTGCAGTTTTTTTTTCTGTGGCCAACTTCAGAAACTGACGCGATAATATCTACACGTAGACTGTATATGCAGATTTTGAGCAAGGTTCGTACTTCATCACAGTTTGTAATATATAGGCCAGGGTTTACCTCTAGTATTAGTTGCCTCATCGACTAGACTTGGAATTTTCAAATCTTCCCTAGATAGATGATCTGTTAGTAGTAGACTATAGACCTAGTGTTACTAAATTCTAGCTAAGTAAGTATGAATATTTGTTTATGTTGAAGTTTTCTAGAAAGTTTTTTCTGCTAAACTTCAACCTTCAAGCCTGAGCTGAAGTCACTAAGCTGAGCTGAATGTAGGCGACTCCAAAATGTAAACATCAGTCAAGATACTCTCAAAACAGCTCACTGCACTACACACATTTTTGTAATTCTGTGACTAAGAACATTACAGTTCTACTACACAACAGCATGTATTAGATGTTGTACATAATATGCATGTGTGTACTATTGCGCAACGGAATTCAGATCAGAAGTGAAGTCAGTACAGACGTTTTTACACAATATACTTTATTAATTATAAATTAAAATAATAAAACAATATGTAAGTTATTATGTTAATTAATGTTATACTAAAAAAATATTAAAATATTAAGTTTTGTTTGTTCAAAATTATATATATATTTTTTTAATTTAAAAATTCTAAAAACAAGCAATACAAGCCTAAAGTAAGAATAGTTGCCTACTTTTCCAAAAGCTCAAAATTTACAGATCGTAATAATATATTGTCTAAATTCTCACAAAATAAATGATTTCTGTTAATGGTTTGATGAAATATATTCTTAAATTACTATTCATTTTTTAATTTGTGTTTATATTGCAAAAATAGACATTTTAATATTAAATTTCACCGGCAAAATATTTGTTAAATTCATTCTAGATTGTCGGTTCGCAGGTTGCCGATGAAACAGAAACGTTCAATCACTAAATTTTTCGTCAAAAATGTCACATTAATAACACTTTCCCGAAAAAAGCTGGCACGATGGAAGATACAGACGGGTAAGAAAATATCCAGAAATAACCAGTATGCTTTAGTGTGTTTGAAAATACCTTACTCTTTGAAATTATGATAGGCGAGTAAATGCAAGTTACTTGTAATTTTCTCACGTTTAGACTAGACTCTATTCAATTCACTACAGCCGACAGTAGATCTACACTCGCTTTCTACATAGACTAGTCACTAGATAACTCCGGGTGGGTTGCGTACGGGCGCGTGCCTGTGTGAAGTTATCTACCGTCAGATCCTCATTACGGTAGATAACTTCATGCAGGCCTGCAGTGTTTAAAATAAGAGAAAAATATTTATCTTGTCTTTAAAAAATTATTCAATCGGTATGTTTGTAAAGAAGAATTTTTTAGAAAGCCGTTTTATTATTCTAACGTTAATGTTTTTTAAGCTGATTTATTCATCCTGCCGAGACATACCCGGCCAGTACAGACTACAGTAGCTAGCTAGCTGTGCTGGCAACAATTAACAACAACCCCATGCAGTGAACTGATTTGCAACCCATATTTATTTCGGCAGTTCGGATTGATTCAGGATGAGCTAGAATATGATTGGTAAAAATCAAATGATTTAAGATGGATTTTTTTTAGTGGTGTGCAAAACTGCAATTTTTTACATATTTCATTATTTTTATCGGAGCGTCGGTGTCCATAAAACAAAACCAGGACCCGACGGCGACGGTCGGATTCGGTGTGACCGACCGTACTGACTCGGGCCTAATTAATCCTTACCAATGGCGAATTGCTCTTTTGAGTAAAGCAGATGTAAATTGTAAACTCTTGCACACCAGTTGCACGAAGGACTCAACATCCAATTTTTAGATTGTGATATCAACAGAATTCTTAAGACAATGAATTTTTCTAGTTGCCAAATTTGTTGTTTAGAATTTTGCTGTCTATTTCGTAGTAATTGATCTATATACAGGGTGCTACAAGAATTTTTTTCACCACTTGCCCTGTCGGGCAAGTGGGTTTTCAATTTACTTGCCCAAACAATATTTCCACTTGCCCAAAACTTTAAAGCGAAAAAGGACTCGAGGTTAAAGCATTTATTATCTCGTAATGATAAGTTAGTGTTTTAGATAGCAAATTAATGCACATACATGTACAGTGTAACTGTACTGAATAATAACCTAATATGTCAAAGAAAATGGTCAACAAAGGATGGTTGAAGGTTTAAAAAACGCATTTTATTGATTCTCCATAAATAATCAGATTCACATGAATCTCGGCAAGGTAGAATGGTTCAAGCAGGTTTAAGTTTTTAATATTCAGTCATGTAAAAAAGCATAATGACCCTGTTGTAAAAAATATGATACAAACATGTCATTAATGGTAGCCACATGTACCATGGTGCAACATCACATGTGTGTCTGTGCAAGCCGCTGTCATTTGGAAACGTAGGCTAATTTTCAGCTTTAAATAATTTGGGTCAACTCTTCCATCAAGAAACGTCATGTAAATAATGGGTAATCAACTATTTAAAATAAAGTACGGACATTTTTATTTCATCATTCACTGCTATAAATATCATGCCAAAATTTGTAAATTCTTACTAAATAATAATATTGAAGATATTTTACGATAAATCTCGGATAAGTATGCGAAAACTAGACTAATCAACGTCGCTAAAACCATGAAAACAAAACAACAACGGCTTATATTCTGGGGGTCTCGATACTATTATCAAAATGACTCGCTCGGTCGGATCTTGAGACCGCAGTAATAAATTGAAAACGAGACAAAAACATTCATCTGATTTATATGAGAAGCGAGTTTTAAATAATATGTTCACAATCATTAACAGTCATTATGAATAAATATCAAACATTTGACTTTTTGTACTTACTAGAAAATCCCTGTTGTTTATTCCATTCCGATTCGCACGTGTTCATTTCCCTAGAATAATGACGTCATATTTGGCGTGATTCAACCAATCGGCAATCAGAGAATAGCAAAGGCCTGTCGGTGCGGCCTGCAGAGCTAGAGAGAGAGAGCGCGAATAAGCTCGCAGCTGGTACGATCGCGCTAGCTGTCTCTAGCTAGCTCACGGCCGGTGTCACAGGCGATTTGTTCCGTGCAGGCGATCGGTTCCTCCGGAACCGATCGCCTGGATATGTACCCGCCGATTTGTTCCGGATTCGTAGATTCGTTCCGCTAGTCACAGGCGATCGGTTCCGGCCAGGCGATTCATTCCGTGGAACCAATCGGCGGGATATTTAGCCGCCGATCCGTTCCGAATCTCATCGGAGAGCGTGCGTGCTCACGTATTATTGAATACATGCCATGGTACACCCCTAAAGCAAAATGAACTATTCTGGTCGGCCTTTGCAACCAATCAAACTTCTCCAAATTAGCTACACCAACGATTGCCAATTTGAGAACTTTGTATAGAAATGCAGATTCCCGTTGTTCAAATATGTTGATAATTGCGGCCAATGATTGACCACAAACAGTAACTATAGACAGCGCCGTCGCAAAGCGACGGGGACTGGGTGGTCTAGCAAAAAGGGCAGTTGTTGCCAAAGGCTTAGTTTGCCTGTAAAAGCAGATGTCGGGGTGTTTTCTAATCAGGCCTTCTAATTTGGTTTGAATGCTGCTTTATATGATATCGTGTTACGTCAACCACCTATTACCGGGCTTCATCACAGAATCTAATTATGCATGTGGGCTGCATACATGATGTACATGTAGTTTAAATGAAAGAGATGCGGGGGGGGGGGGGGGGGGGGCCGGGGTCAACACAAAAAGAAATGAGTGGTCGAGCTGATAATTAAGAAGGACCAATAAAAAAAAAAGAAGAAGAAAAGAAGAGAAAGAAAATTCCTCAAGTTCGCGCCCAGATCAGCATGCTGTGTCGCAATATATCGTGCCGAGCGTGCACGTGCGTGCATGCATATGATATACATGTACTCTGTGCGCATATACTAGTCAGTAGGTTATTTATTTATTTATTTTTCGTACCCCGCGTGGGTAATTCCGTACGAGGTTATAAACCTTATTATTAAGTAATATTTCAAAAAAAATAATATTATTTATTATTATTTATCATTATTAGGCATTTAGCTACGCTATTCATAGTACACTATATCACAGCGCTTACAATAATAACCACAAATCATAACATAACATAACATTGAACAAACAAAAAAAATAGCGAATCAAATAGGAAATAAATAGGTTTTAAGGAGTTTCTTAAAAACATCCACTGATGCAGCAGCTTTGATACTGGAGGGAAGTTTATTCCACTCCTTAGCTGCTGCAACAGTGAATGTGCGATCTCCTGCCTTACTACGAGCCACATGAAATGTCAGTCGAAATGGGTCTGCATTGGAGCGAAGGTTTGTACGTACAGGTTGATACAACTCAAGACAGTCACTAAAATACTCTGGTGCCTTTGGTTTTCATTGCAACAATAAATACAAAAGTATCAAGATAAGGCTAAAATTTATTTTTACCATGTTTATTCGACACAAGTAATACAAATATACGCGATTATATAAGCAGAAACGTTCGGCCAATGTCGGATAAGAACGGCGGCTTTCGAACGTATCTGCGAACGAGTCGATCCAGTAGATTCGTTCCGCGGAACCCGGAACAAATCGCCTACCACACCGGCCGTGCGTGGAGGCGGAGCGGCATTCATGGCTTGAAGTGTCACTGTTGCATGCGCGCTGAGCTAGCTGAGCTGGCTAGCTGTCTGTGAAGTTTTTTCGAAATCGGAACGATCGCTTTTTTGCTTCTGGATTTTGACGACGGGTAAGAAGTTGACGGGTGAATGGTAGAGTTCTTGGACACTAGGAAATTACTGTAAAAGTATCACTTGCCCGAATCGGGCAAGTGATAATTTGATTTACTTGCCCGACGGCTCAATTTGGTTGCCCCGGGACGTCGGGCAAGCGGGTTTGTCGCGCCCTGATATAATAAACTTGTGTAGAATATAAGAAGTTATAGATCGAATATCACATTCCTAATTCTTTTTAAATGTGTGTGAACTTCTGACACCCTATCATACACAAAGCCAGGCAAAATGAAGAGACCACTTGATTACGTATGGGGGGGGGGGGGGAAGGGGACTTATTTATTGGTTTTTGTTTAAATGTTTGGAATTATAGGGCAAACCCTCATGAGAGTCTCGTTGCTCAATCATGTCAGAGGTTTAGGGCTATGCCGCTATGTACAGTAGATATCACATTGAACGTAAATTGATTACCTTCTTTACTCATTTCTTCCAGGATGTCGAGTAATTCAGCCTCAGAAGAGGAGAACGTGAAGGGCGGTGCTCCAGCAAGTAAAGAAGATTCGGGCAAACAACGATCTCACAGTAGCAGTCGACACAAGAAGCACAAGCATAAGAGTAAGAAAAGCCACCACAAGCATAAGCATCACAAGGAAAACAAAGATGGCCACCGTCGACATAAGCACAAGCACAAGAAACATAAGAGCAAGAAGGATGAGGAACCTCCTGTTGCCACACCTGCAGCTGACGAATCGGAGTCAGACATCGAATTAGAAGATACCATTCCTTTGCCTAAGTTTGAGCCAAAGATTCCTCCTCCTCCTCCGCCGCCAAACAGTCGTCGAGAGAGCGGCAGGAAGGAGAGGGGGCGTGGTGGTGACGATACCCTCGCTGCTCTTGAGAAACAGAAGGAGCTTCTACAAGCCCAGCTGCTGGCTACAGCTGAAGATGAACACTCAGGAATGAATTTAATTGCTCAGGGTTACCAGTCTGATGAAGAAGAAGGCGAGGACGACGAATCCGCTCTGAAGCAGTCCCTCTCCAAGTGGATCCGGCCAGAGAGTTCTAGTTCCAAGCCTTCCTCAAAATCAGAGTTAAAAGACAGTGAGAGATCAGAGAAGAGGAAGCGGGAGAGGGAAGACGAGACCTCTCAGAAGAAACAACATCGCAGTAAGTCGCCTGCCACTGAGCGGTCCTCCGGCAGCAGCAGGGTTGATAATGGCGATGCCAAATCCTCGCAAAGCAGGACTAATAGAGACAGTCATATAGCTAGTGACAGGAAACATTCCAAGGACAGTGATAGTAGAAGAGACTCCAGGAAATCTTCACCAAGTGCCACTAAATCCGAGCAGCGGGAGTCTAGAGACAGTAGGGAACCAAGGGACAGTAGGAAATCATCAGGGCGTGACGGCAGGGCATCACCAAAGAGAGAGCTTAAATCAGGAGAGAAATCCAGAAGAGAGAGTAGCAGGGATTCCAAACCCATTAGGAGCAGGTCTCCTAAAAAAGAGAGGTGAGTGACTAAGTGGGTGCTCTTCTTCTCAGAATATGTACAGTTAGAATAGATGATGTATGGGAGATCTATCACCGTGGCAAACACATTGTGAATACCCAAAGAAAATGTTTTATGAAGTTGAATTCACTTCTTTTTCATTTTTATTTTATTGGAGAGGCAAATAAAGCAAATAAAATTTATAGCACATGATCATTTTCATTAGTTTGTTGTAAATACCTGTATTACACTTTCTTCATCTAAGGAAAGAAAAGAAAAACTCCTCTTTTTACTCTCTGTACTTAAAGTGCATTATTGACAGTTTGTTTTGTTATTTCCAAATCCTTGTAGGGTATTCACTGAACCTGCAAGGAGTAGGCCAAGCCCGCCCCGTCGATCCCCACCCCCTCGTCGTCCCCCTTCCCCGCCAGCCCGCCGTCCAGACCAACCCCTGGGTAGAAGAGGGCGGAGTCCCATTGAGAGGCGAGGCAGAAGCCCCTTGGAGAGGCGAATCAGAAGCAGCAGGTCACCGGCGGTCGTCGACAGGTTCGATAGAAGGAGGGGGGCATCCCCACCCAGGAGGTTTGGGGACATGTCACGTAACCGAAGGAGATGGAGCAGGAGCCCTGATAGACGAGGGAGACGAGGGAGGTGGGGAAGGAGCAGGAGCAAGTCACCCAGAGATAAATTCAAAGGCAGTCTGTCAGAGGGCTTGTCATTGAAGCAGGAGTCGTCGGATGACGAGTAAGTGACCAATTTTTAAAATTTGTTACCTTTGTTTTTCTTAATTTGGAGACTGAATATGAATAGATGCCCTCAAATAGTGACATGTCAATCTCTATATTTGAACATAATTCTTGGCATTGATACCAACTGAATTCATTGTTTTGCACAGAATGAATGAATCATCTATGAATAAATCATTTAAAAATTTGTCGTGATGTATTTGTTACTGCACACCAGAAATGGTATATTATGCTCAGGATTTAATTCTGTAAATATTTATTCCATAGTTAAATCATGAATTTCATAAACATATATTATCCATTTTATGGAAATTAATAGATATGACAGAGTGATAAGTTAGTTGAAATTGATGCTTCTTGATTGTATGTAAATTATTTCATGTCAGAAATCTAGTAACATATATGTGTATGTGTACTAGTAGGTAGAACTCCTGTTTTCTAAGTGAATGACTTGTGGTTATGATTGGCTCATGTATCCATCTTGAAGTTGCCAATTTACAGACCAAGAATTTTGTAATTCTTTTCAAGGATCCCTGATGTCGACCTGGATGAAGAAGAAGATGAAGAAGCAGTGATTGAGAGGAGAAGAAGAGAGAGGCAGCAACTCATGCAGGTTAGTGCTCAACTAACAATTTAACAACTCCACTCCTGAAACTTGAAGAATTCAAAGAGTCCAGTGATTAGAGTTTGCTGTATGTTAGCTCCATTTTAATACAAATTAGTACATTTGTCATACAGTAATAATATAACCTGTTTAAAATGTTGGTAATATGTAAGAGCAGTAACCAGCTGCCTAAAAGAGCTGCATTTGCCTGCTTGCTATATTTTTTTAATCAGCAGCAAAATTCCATTATATTTACAGTATGTGATTGTTCTGAGTTTCCTTAAGTCCTAGACGTGTTTGTGCATCTTCATCTAAAGTGCACCACAATCTAAGAAATGAGATATAATGGGCACCTCACATGGCTGAATTCTTGTTTTCAGAAATACAAAGTTGCTCCAGCGGAGAGCGCGACGTCTAGCCCCGCCCAGGGTCCTTCTGAGCCATCCTCCACCCCGCAGTCCCCGCAGGCCAGCGAGCAAGGGGGTAGCACCGCCCAGAGTCAGGATACAGACGATGAGGATGATGATGAGGAGGAAGAGGAGGAGGATGAGGAGGAGGATGACAGTGAAAAGAGTAGTTCATCTGATTCGGACGACGACAGCAGCGAGGTGGAGAGCAAGGCTAGTAGTGATGATGATGATGACGATGAGGAGGATGATGAGGGAGATGCAGCAAGGATTGAGGAAGAGGAGAGGCTCAGGGAGGAGGAGGAGGAGGCGGAGCAAGAGAAGAGGAGGGAGATGGAGAGGAAGAGATTAAAGGAGGCGTTTCCCCAGAGTGATAGCGAAGACGAGGAATCGGCTGCTAACAGCAAGAAGGGAGAAGGAAGTTTGGACAAGAACCTGAGTGACATTGTCAAACCCAAATCAGACAAAGGTGAGGTCTTTAATAGTGCCAGCAATGTTCATAGCGCAGTGAGTTGCTACAGGGTACAGTTTTCATTATTTGCCAGAATTACCAACCCATTACATGCAAAGTATTACATGTTTATTCACATCCCCCCAAAAAATGGAACACGATTTGCAATTATCAGTTAGTAATGAGTTTTCAATGTCACTATTTACAGTTTGAATGTATACAATGTAGTTTCAAATGTTGCATGAATTTTGTTAAAATAATATTTTTTTTCATTTCAATCTCCAGAGCAAGCAATGGCCAATAATGGACTGGACATGTTTAGTGAGGTGGATATGTTCAAGATGGTGAGTGATATGTAGGACATTGTTTACATTTTTTAAACATAAGTGGTAACACGTATTCCCTTCATGGAAAACAAGAGTATTATTCATTGTGCATCTATTGCGCACGGACATGCATGCTGTCTGTACTAGTGGGCAAATTAGAGCAATTCCCACTTAGTCTTGCATCAAGGAACTTCAGGGCCCTGTCTTACAAAGAGTTGATATCAATCGCAACTATGTACATAAGAGATAGGCGACTGTTGACTGGTTCATTTTGCGGGTGGTATGAGACTTTATTGCCCTCAGCTTATACATACATAATATGCATTTTACTTGCAAATTTTATGTGATATATTAGTTTTTTATTCCATATCTGGACGCAAAGTTCAGTGCCGTCTTGGTTGTACTTGTTCAAACTCCAAACAGTGTTTGTCCAATGCTCTCTTTTAGTGACACATCTCTCTCTCTCTCTCTAAGGGAAATTGCCAGACTTGTGTCAAATTGTCCTAAATTGTATTGTAGTTCCAAGAAATTTTATTTGATATTTGGGTCATTCCATAAAGTTTGGGGCAAAAAATAAGACAGTGTCCATGTAACGTAGGTAAGAGATCTTCTACTACACATGGAAGATGAAACTATCTGTTAAAGATTTTTATGCAATGAAAATATATACACCTGTAGTAGTGCCCTGTCAGAATCGTTCCTGTTTCAGTCGTTTTTCTTCAAAATCTATGCTTTATATACATTTCTCTTTTTACCGGCGTTACATGGACACCATATTCACATAACATGACATAAACTTTGGTCCATAATATTGATTAACCATGAAGCTTGAGTACTTCTGAAGATAGTTGGATATGCTTTTTATGCAGAACTCAATTTGAGCAAACATTATTACAGTTGATAGGAGACATAGTTTTTCACTTCTGGTATGTCACAAAAAGTGCCGCCAACTTTCTGGACGGACCCATTTGTCTATTCATGGAGTTATTTTATTGATCACTTTAATTTTCATGTTATTTCATGACAGAGCCCATCCACCCGTGAGGGTATAGGTCAGATGGGTCCAGAGAACCCAAGTCTCACCGATAACTGGGATGATGAAGAAGGATACTACAGTGAGTACAAAGCATTTCATTCGTTTCTAATCATTGAGATATTGCATAATGAGCAGCTGTAGTATTAAAGTACAGAGAAAAAAAAATCCTTATACTTTTGCTGAGTTGGTTAGGCTATGGGCATTGCAAAAGTTTTTTTGTTGTTGCTGTACAGGTATATTTGTAAACATCCCTAGGCTTTCTCTTTAAAGGCATCGTTTTACATTGTTAAATCGGAGATGCATGGCCCTACGTGTTATCAGTGTCACTGTCTGTGATAGGGTGTAATATTGAAGCCCTAAAAAAAATTGCGCTTTAAAGAAGTAAAAATATTTGAATGACCAGTTTTACCATACTCATTTCCCCTAATATACTGTAGTGTGATGAAAAATTGTAGGAAAACAGAAAATTTTGATTTCCGATCATAAATATCTTGATAATCAGACAGGCAATCGGCTTGTAAAAGTCATGGGATTCCTGACTGATTGCATGATTGCAGCATGAGCTAAATCCAGGATTTTGTTTCAGAATCTGAGGCAATGTTACCGAGTCATTTTAAGTTTTGCAGGAAACTTATTTGTCATTTATTTGGATATATACTGATATTGTTTATGCTTAAAATAAACTCCATGTATTGTTCAGGCACTCATCATAATTGTGCTCTTTATCCAAGTCCTCCAAGATCAAAATCCTGTACTGATGTATGAATCGTTGAGATTTGAGATGCACATGCTAAATGCTTCTGCTGTTATTTCCTATTGCAGGGGTGCGTATTGGAGAGAGCCTGGACAAGCGCTATGCAGTGTACGGCTACACTGGCCAGGGTGTGTTCAGTAACGTGGTGAGAGCCAGAGACACTGCCAGGGGAAAGCTAGACGTTGCCATCAAGATCATTCGTAATAACGACCTTATGTGAGTATTGATTCTTTACCCTTGCAACGTCGTAGTATTATTACAGAGCTGCCAACCATTCCGTTTTTTCATCCAAATTATGTTTTTTTTTTCTTCACAAAATACATTTTTAAAATTATTTGTAATTTTTTCTTTTTTTTTACAGAAAACTGCCCTCAAATGTTATTTTGATCACAAAGTCAATAGAAAACTAAGGTTAAAAGATATTTGAAGAGAAAAATATTCTCAAAAACAATGAAATGCCGATAATACCAAAATAACAACAACAAAATACCTACTTGTAAATAAACTTTAGGTCCTAATATTGAAACAAACTGCATGAGGAATGAACATTTGTGCATTAGAAGTGTGTCGCGCGTGGTTGTAAGTTTCGTTTTAATGAATTCCTGTTTTTTGCCTGAAATTCCTTTTTTTTTGCCATTATGGTTCCTTTTTTTGGTCGCACAAGGTTGTCAGTTTTGGTATTAACATTTATAATCTTCTTTCTTTTTATGCTTGCATTTCTAGCGAAAAAGATGAATACAGACGGTCAAACTTGCGTTAGTTACCACCTGTATAGAAACAACACCTGTCTATAATGACCACATTTTCTGTTTTTCGTTGAAACTGGCACCGAAGAAACCTGTACTGAAAGACCACCTGCTCATAAAGACAGCATTTCTTGCTTCACTCGAGCGGTCTTTATTTAGAGTTTTCATTGCATTTCCTTGTGACTTGCTAGTGTCTACGTTGATATGCCTTGTCAGTGCAACAACATTTTTACTTGCCAAAACTATAATATCAAACTGGAGGACTTTTGATCAGTCCAGATCAGTTGCAACTCTTTTAGCCCAACTGCACTACTTGAAGCTACTTGCTCCCTGTATATAGAAAACAATGCCAAAGGGGTGCCCGTTGGTCCCCCATGATCCTCTTTTTCTTATGTTAATTGAGAGCTGAGTTTATGAGATAACCACCTATCAGTGACCATTCTGGGTGGTCTAATCCCTCCTGGCCAAACTAGTACAGACAGGCTTTAAGGCAGGATCCTGAGGACCCTAATCAAACAATTTTAAACAGATCATTGTATGTTTTATTTTATTTTTTGTTGAAGTGACCATTCCCTGACGGGTTGGTGTAGAGTGTATGTGGGAATCAGTAACAAAGAAGCTGAAGCGGTATTTGTTGTAAATTGTCTTCCACTATCTTCCATCCCCCTATATCTTGCAGGCAAAAGACTGGGATGAAAGAACTGGAATACCTCAAGCGTCTCAACGACCAGGATAGAGAGGACAAGTTCCACTGTGTTCGTCTCTTTAGATCCTTCAGTTACAGACAGCATCTCTGTCTCGTCTTTGAACCACTCAGGTAAAAAAAAAAAAAAAAAAAAAGTCCTTGATTCTGTCTTGTGATTCATTTAAAATACAAGGAGAATATTCACATTTGTGTTAAATCAGCAAATTTGTGATAATAACAAATACTTTTACCTCCCATGTTTAGTAGAAGAAATCACTCATTACAACAATTTATTTTCGTTATAAATTTATTTAACAAATGACTGTCACATTCATGAAGCAAAAACCATTCTCAAAGTTAATAATTCATCAAGAATGAAAAGAAAAGATTAGAATGTAATCATTAAATAGTACCACAACACTGCTGTAATTTGTAAAATTAGCCAATTTCATACAAGACGTGCTTATCCTTTAAAGATACAAAGGGTTTCCGATGTTGATGTAGGCTTATGTTTAATATTTTTTTCTTCATTTCTTCTCCTTCTGTCTAGTATGAACCTTCGAGAAGTGTTGAAGCGTTATGGCAAGGATGTAGGGTTACACATCAAGGCAGTGAGATCATACACCCAGCAGCTCTTCCTAGCCCTCAAATTACTCAAGAGATGCAACATCCTGCATGCTGATATCAAACCGGACAATATCCTGGTGAGTTGAGGAGCTTTGATATCAATACGTCTGTTGTTGAGAGCCAGAAGGGCATTAACTCGCTAACTTTAACATAGAGTTAACATCCTTTTGGCTCTTAAAGGCATCGTTTAACAATGTTAAATCTGAGATGAGTGGCCCTACGTGTTATCATTGCTGTGATATGGTGTAATAATGAAGCCCTGAAAAAATTGCACTTCAGAATGATTATGAAGTGCCTCTAAAAAGTAAAAATCTTTGAGTGACCGGTTTTACCCTACTCGTTTTCCCCAATAGACTGTAGTGTTATGAAAACCGTTAGGAAAACGCAAAATTTGATTTTGATTTCCAATCATAAATATCTTGATAATCAGACAGGCGATTGGCTTGTAAAGCTATGGGGTCCATGACTGACCTAAAGGTTTATAATTATCATTGCAGCATGAGCTAAATCCAGGATTTTGTTTCAGAATCTGAGGCAATGTTACCAAGTCATTTTAATATCAATACATCTGTTGTTGAGAGCCAGAAAGGGCATTAACTCACCAACTGTAACATAGAGTTACCACCCTTCTGGCTTTTGAAGATAAAGCTTGAGTTCTGGTTAATGATAGAACATAAATTCTCACAGAATAAAAAAAAACTTACACAGAATGTTCAGGATTACCAATAAATGACATGTGCTAGACGATTCTGTTTGAAAATGTATAGGGGCTGAGTTATATATACTTTAATTGTATCATAATGTGAAAGAGGATGTTTTTAAAGAAAACCTAAATTTTGTATTCTTTCATCAATATTCGACTGTGTCTTAAATGACATCTTCTTTTACATTATGATGCAATTTCAGTGAAATTTTGCCATGAAATTGTTTGGCAAATTTGGGGCTCACAACACTTTAGAGGGCCTTTAACAACATTTCTTTAAAGGTAGGTTTATCAGTTAAATCAAAGCCTATGTCTCTTGTAGAGCAGCATCACTTTTCTGAGTTGTACATATCAACTATTTTTTATTTTCTTTCTCCAGGTGAACGAATCCAAATCAGTCCTGAAACTGTGTGATTTTGGCTCAGCCTCACATGTAGCCGATAATGACATCACCCCATATCTTGTCAGTAGATTCTACCGTGCTCCTGAAATAAGTGAGTTCAATTTCATTCTTACTTGTAAAACGTATCTGTGAGTGTGACACAGGCAGGCCTGATAAAAACCTATTTTTTTATTTTTTCCTGATTTAAAAAAAAAAAAAAAAAATCCGATTTTTTTTTCTTCTTCTCTATTTTATCCTGATTTTCCTAATTGCCCCCTTATTTTCTCTATTCTTCCCTATTTTGCCCTATTTTTTCCCTAATTTTTCTCAATTTTCTTACTCGAAAGGGGGGAATGTTGTTAGATGCCATTTTTTCCCCGCGAATCCTCTTCTTTTTTTGTTTACTCAATGGGGGCGTGGTTGAGGGTAAAACAAAAACCTATTTTTTTTATAGTGCTCACTATCACCCCTGCAAAGGTTACGAGGAGACAGAGATGGCTCAGTGGTAGAGCAGAGGACTTGAAGCCGTCTGTCCCCTGGTTGCTTATGTACCAGCATACACATGCTATTTTAGCAGTCGGGTAAAACAAACAAACAAACCAAAGATAACAATCCTAAAACTCCTCATTGATTTGACATCCATCCACTTTGTTTTTATGCCTCTGTTACGAAGTAGTCGGAGGCATTATGTTTTCGGGTTGTCCGTACGTCCCGTTCTCGTGATCGGAACCAACAAATGGATTACCATCAAACTCAGAACATGTATGTATCTTGCAGAGCCAATAAACTGATTAGATTTTAGGGTCAAAATGGCTTGTAATCACAATTTTCTGAGAACCTGTTATTGCATTACAATCAAACTTGAATTTGAAAAATTGCTTCTGTTTGGTTTGTTTCTATGGCGGAGGCATCATTTTCGACTGCGTGCAGACGAAGATGCCTCTAGTTTTGTGATTTATTTCATAGTTTTTATGCCTCCGCTAGAAAGTAGCCGGAGGCATTATTTTTTTATAGTTTTGTTTTTGGCGCCTCATAAAAGTGGTTTATCTGAGGGCTTATGCATATATATTTTATTACCAAATCATTAAATCCTGTTCATCTAAACCCAAAACATTATATTCCCTGTGAAGAGATTTCTTTCACTCTATATTCCTTTATCATGTACTGCGTTTCTTAGATATGAGCATTAATGGAATATTTTAAAGAATCTTGTATTTTATCGTAAAATCATAAAACCATCATTAATATGTATTTTATTGAAGGAATTATGGGCTTACCGTACTCAGAAAAGAAGGGGATTTTCATTTTCCTCTTCTTGCCTATGTTTCATTGTCTGGAAGTGATTTAGAATGTTTCATATTGATTTGAAAACAAGATTTAGGAAGTGTTCCTAATGGAATAGATAATCATTAAGAGGTATACTGATGGTGTATAGGAGACATTGATGATTGCAGTGTCTACAGTAGGATTTATATTCATGTCTTGATGCATAAGCCATTATTATAAAGCATTACATGTATGTCCTAGAAAAGTTTTGGCTGCTTTAAATTATGGTAGATCTAATGCATTTATAATGAGTTTTTGGTCATTGAACTTTTTTCTCAGATTAGACTTATATTTTTTTCTGTTGGTTGTATTATTTTTATTGTTCTTGTCTAGCAACATTCTTTCAATAAAACTTCTCCATTGAAAACTCATATTTCTTTTAAATTGGGGCATATTTTGTTATCTTCCACAAAATTTCCCCCATTTTGTAACATTTTTTATTTGTAATCTCTCCTGTTGTCTTTTTTATAAAAACTTCCTACTGCTCTATCTATCCTTTTTGTTTTGTTCCTTTCTCAATTTTTATCTTTTTATCTTCAATTTATTTCAAACTGAGACACTTTCTTTATTAACATTGATGTTCTTTTCTCTGTCCCTCTGTTCCCGACCTTTTCTCCTGTGGTACTTTTCTCCCCCTTTCTCTTTCTATCTTCCAATCCTACTGCTCTCTTTCTTATATTCCACCATTCTATCCTTCATGCTTTACCCCCTCCCCCTCCTCCTTCCGCCTCCCCCTTCTCCCTCCTCTTTTCCCCTCCTCCTTCCCCTTCCTCCTTCCCCTCCTCCTTCCCCCTCCTCCTCCTTCTCCTCCTCCTCCTTCCCCCTCCCCCTTCCCCCTCCCCCTTCCCCTCCCCCTTCCCCTCCCCCTTCCCCTCCCCCTTCCCCACCCCCTTCCCCACCCACTTCCCCACCCCTTTCCCACCCCTTTCCCCTCCCCTTCCCATCTTCCTTCCTCTTCCTTCCTCTTCGCCTCCTCCTCCCCTCCTTCTTCCCCTCCTCCTTCCCCTCCTCCTTCCCCCTCCTCCTCCCCTCCTCCTCCCCCTCCTCCTCCCCTCCTCCCCCTCCTCCTTCCCCCTCCTTCCCCCTCCTTCCCCCTCCCATCCTTCTTCCCCCTCCCCTCCTCCTTCCCCCTCCCCTCCTCCTTCCCCTTCCTCTTTCCCCCTACTTCCCCCTCCTTCCTCCCCCTCCTTCTCCCCTCCTTCTCCCCCTCCTTCTCCCCCTTCTTCTCCCCCTTCCCCTCCCCTTCCCCTCCCCTTCCCCTCCCCTTCCCCTCCTCCCCTCCCCTCCTCCTTCCCTTCCCTCCCCTCCCTCCTCCCCTTCCCCCTCCCCCCTTCCCCCTCCCCCTTCCCCATCCAGTCATCGGCATGAACTACGACGCGGCCATTGACATGTGGAGCACGGGCTGCACCATCTTTGAGCTGGCCGCCGGTAAGATCATGTTCCCAGGCAAGACCAACAACCACATGCTGAAACTCTTCATGGACCTCAAGGGCAAGATGCCCCACAAGATCATCCGCAAGGGCATCCTCAGGGACAAGCACTTTGACCCCAACTGCAATTTCAAGTACGTCGAAGTGGACAAGGTCACCGAAAGGGTATGTAATGGTCTTTGTTTTTGCTCTAGTCCGTTCTGTATTTCTGATTTTACTGATAAATTGACAAAAATAAGTGAATTTTCAAATGATTCACTTATTCTACTCATGAATTAAAAAAAATAAGTGAATTTTCAAATGATTTACTTTGTCTTTGTGATTCAATTTTTTGGTCAGTATCATCACTTTTCTCTACATGTTCTATCCTAGACATTTTCTTTTCTTTATAACAGTTGCAATTTTTTGTTTTCTGTACATCAAGCAAGACACAACAAAATTGTAAAGTTTATCTTCTTAGCATGACTTTTCTGAAGTTAAGAATATACATTTTCAGATTTTTCACCATGATGCCCATCATATGCGTGTATGATTCATTTCCATTAAGCAGTTCTGTTTGTATGTTGTAAAATGCCAAAATGGTTAGTTATATCTAGAATGACCTATACTGCGCTTATGTGCAGACTGTCAACGCTATTAAGACCATGAATGCTTGTGGGTTTTTTCAGGAGAAAGTCACTGTGATGACTGTTATCAACCCGACCAAAGACTTGACCACTGAGCTCCTGGGCTACCAGCGGCTACCCGAGGACCAACAGCGCAAGGTACTACAGCTGAAGGATGTCCTTGACCGATGTCTCATGCTGGATCCCTCCAAGAGGATCTCCATCAACGAAGTGCTACGCCATTCTTTCATCCAGGAGAAGATATGAGAGGGAGGGGGCGACCCCCTTCCAGGCAGCCCCCACTCGGTGTCGCTATTTTTTTTTCTTCAACCCAGTGCCTACCAGGGGGGTGTTTCACAAAGCCTTTCTTCAATGACAAATGACAAAAATCAGCGACAAATCTGCTGATAACTAATCAGAAGCAAGGATTTCACTAGCTTATAACAAAAACTCTCATTTGTCACTGCTGACAAGTTTTGTGAAACACCCCCTAGAACTGGATGGTTATAGAACTTACGGGGATTGGAGAATTCTGTAGTCATCCGGTTAACTCCAGCTGATATATCACAACCTCTGTGCATTGTAGTTCGCGTTGACTGTGCAGAATGCTCCTGCTTCAACTCAGGTTTCGTAATAGAGCTATGTTCCATGTTATAGCTTATTTTTACATTCATGAATCATTTTAAAAGACCATCTGAATTCTAGAAGACATTTGCTTTGTATTTTTGTGAAATGTGTAAAGATATTACTTCATATATATATATCGATGCGTTGATCCTGAAATCGGGACCTGTTGAACATTATCATGAACTTGTTACCACATGTTTTCTAAGTGATCTTTACCCTTTATTCAGAGGTTTTGTTTATAATGCATGGTTTATAGTTTTGTATTCAATTGTGATTCCTGTTTATCATGTCATTTCAATAACCAAATCTTAATGTGGTAGGAGAGGCAGCTTTTCTAAAGGAGAAAGGTAAGAGGTGAAATGTTCACAAAGGTAATTTTTTAGGAGGTTTTAGGAATCCATCTTACTCCAGCAACTTGCTTGATAAGAGACTTGATCTAGTTCCCAGTGAAGTATGATCAGCTCTCTGAGAAGTTCTTTTAGGCTTCATCGTTCATTTTTTAAATTTCTTTAAAAAAAAAAAGTCTTATTTCATAAGAATAACTAGGTATTATTACCAATCTGAAAATGACCACCTTAAACCTGAAGTGATTCCTTTTTTTTTATTCCTCAAGTTCCTGTTTCTAAAAATGTTGCCTTGAATACAATGGGCACCCCAATAAACATTTACAGACGAGATAATCTTAAAGTTTTGTTTTTTTCCTCAAGAATGTGCCGTATTGTAGAAAAAGATTCAGCTAATTTTTCTCTTGTGTTCTTCTTCCAGAACTGATCTTGCTGCAGAGAGCACACCAGGTTGTACCGTCACAGAACTTTAAACATCATGTGTGAGCACAAAAAAAAAGTCATTTGTGTAGTAATATCATTTTCATGTGTAGACAATCAATGCCCATGCTACATACAAAAAAATGCAGTATTTGGTAAGCCCCACCTACATTGGGGGGAAAACCCCCCCAAAGATTCCTGTGTCATTTTCCATCTTGTTTATGACAGATTTAAAAAATAAACTTGAAACATCACCACATTTCTTAGGGTAGGATCGGGGTTGTAAATATACTATTAAACAGAAGGAGACACTGTTTTGTGAGACACTGGTATTGACTAGTGCATGTTGAAGCTGGGTTGAAGGGGTAGGTTTAGTTCAGATCCATTTTGCATGTATAGTTTGCCAGGAAGTACATACAAGTCATTTCAGAAGACTAATGATGCAATTAAAATGTCTGTACATTTTTTTCTTATGATTTAGACCACATGTAGGATTTGATTCAAGATTTTCCTATGAGAGAAATGAAATTATAATAGAATGAATGAAAATTTGTTTACAGGTGGTGAAAAATTACTCAAATTAAAAGGCATAATTAGAGTTTAATGTTGATGCAGATATTTGATATAGTTATGTTAGTTTCTGTTATGCTGAGGGTATGCTTGATATGATATTGGGTATGACAATTATGGAAAGCCGTTAGCATTTTTGAAAATATTTTGTAAGAGTTATTTTAAAAGGCATAAAATTTGATTCAAATCATTCACATTTTCTATTATCAAGGAGATTTCATGTTCTTGGTGTGGAATTTATGAAAAGTCTAAAATACTTGATTTTTGCTTTTGAATATATTCTATATTAGGGCTACAAGTGGCTCTCCATAACTTTTAAGTTCAACTTAAGATCTTTGTGAAACACCCCCTGAGATCTAATGTACAGGTAGTACACATATTGAATACCAAGCATACCCTCGACCCTACTCTCTCAGCTGTTGAATTATAAGTTGATCTGTTTTTGCCTGATTTCTTTCCCCCTCCCCTCACCCTAGCGCTGGTTCGACTGTCGAGTTCTCGGCTCAAGCAGAGTTTGTTTATAAAGTGCATTGTGGCAGATCTCTGCAGGGTAATGTACATGTGTGAATGGAGCGTGACGTTGAAACATTCAAATTAAATGAAATGTACTATAATATGCATGTAACTAGCATTGGAAGGGGGAATCCCCTCTGTTTAATTTACACTGGCAGGCATTGCACGAAGAGCTGTGTTTTCATTTTATGACTTAAATCTTATTGCATTTATTTAAAGCCCCACTGTACTACTTGTAGCTACTTGCTCCCTCTATTGGTGATCATTGGTCCCCCATGATCCTCTTTTTCTTATGTTAATTGAGACCTTTCGGATGTGATACAAGAACGTTCAAACCATTTAATAGTACCGTACATGACTGTCTTATAATACTTAATCTGTCGGATGCATTTTGGTATGATGCATGTTTTCCATCGGCTCCAGTCCGCGATATCTGAGGTTTGGTATTCAGAGGGATTAAGACAATTAAGTCAGAAAATGATAACCAGCTCTTTCGTGCATCACCAAATGCCTGTAAATAATGCTTCGATCATTCAAAAGTGTGTGAAGTTTTTACCTTTAACCCAATGTTCAGACACATGGCCATTTTTATGTTGTCTTAGCCGTCAACTTATTTAAACAAAATTATTTTGACTCGTACTTAACGTACAATTGAAAGCTTTAAAGTATGCTTACATATTACTGAAAGTGACAGTTTTTTAATGTTCTTACATAATTGATTGCCCATAATTTTCCATTTTTATTTATGTTCCAAAAAAAAACTGATATGCATTATTTTGGAAAAATCTAAATGTTGAAGTCTTAGACTTTGTTTTAATTGTATATGTGTTAATTATTTTCTGTTTTGTGTGGATATAGTTTTGATAATAGTGCACAATCAATTATGATAATGTTTTTTTGAATGGTAAATTTTGGAGGGAAATAGAAGGTATTCTGTTGAAATTGCTTTTATTGTCACTAAATATCTGAATAAATTGACCGAAAGCATGGTGACCTTTATCACAGGAGGTCATATTCTGTAAACTATTGAAGAGATGAGGTATCTGTGAAAAGTTATGAAATACAACGAGATGGAAAACAAAAACATTGACTAGAAACTAGTTTCTTTTTTTCGTGAAGGGTTGATGTGCGATCGTGTTGTTGATGTTGATTGATGATCACTGTTGAGTATATAAAAGACAAGGTTTCACCCACACATCTTTTCTTGTGTTTCTCCCTCTCTTGGGATGGTCTGCGATGATGCGTAACCACGGTTACTCAAGCTGCCCTACTACTGGAAGCAACTCGTCTCCTCACAGAGGATGTTCTTGGATGCTTCATGCAAGATGCACTCGTCAACAAGTATGGATGGTATTTTTTTTTTTCACCCGAAGAAAATACGTTTCTATGAGGTCACTTGAAAATTTCAGACAAAATCAAAACCTTAACATCTAACAGACATTTATATTCGAACAAGAGTTTTGATTACATAGTACCTTTGATGGAAGAACCCCAAATTTATACAAAGCATGACCAGAATATAGTACAGAATGGGAAGAGTTTATTATTTACCCTTAACAATTTCTGGTCACCAAATTATAATTGGGTATGAAACATGTCTTTTCACACAAGTAAACACAAAGTGAAAATCATATAATAACTGATGTTATGATAATCTTGCAAATATTATACTGAAAATGTGGAAAATAGAGGCATTTGTAGTGTTTGGCCATTATTTAATTGCTTGAAAAAGGAGCCAAATAGGAGTATGAGGAAACTCTTATATCAGGAGGATCTCTTGTACATTTTCCAAATTATGTAGAAAATATTGAACAAATTCTCTGGACTTTCCTTATTTGTTGATGATGGCAACTTTATTATTGGGTGAGCCCCTTATGTTCTGGCTTATTGTGCATTTTTGTATTTGGCAGTTTGATTTAGACAACTGCTCTGCATGTAGCCATGTACTATATTGTCAGAACATAAGGGTATCCGATTACAAGAAATGAAATCAAAAGTGAGGCGAGGTTTATTATTATAATGAAGAGGAGAAGATTTGAGATGGTGATGATGGTGATGATTTATGATGAAGATGAAATGATGGTATTTTTTTAATGAATTGTAAGCGAGGTGAGGATTGTGATTATGATAAAGAGGAGAAGAATTGAGATGGTGATGATGATGAAGGTAATTTTTTAATAGATGACAAGAGATGACAAGGAGATGCTTTAATGAAGCCCTTATGGTGATTATGCTCAATACTGATGAAGTAAATTGAGCTATGAGTTGTGTGCATATATATGATTATGGTAGTGATCGGGATGTAAGCATACACTTTTAGGCAAATCAGTCAAGTGAGTTATCAGTTCTGGGAAGCGTTTCATAAAGCTGTGCGTAAAGTTATGCATGACTTTACAAATGATTTGAATATGAAGAGCTAAATCCGATTCTTAAATCCTTGTAATTGCATAAGCTAAATTGGAAATATGTAGATTAACCTTATCATTATTAACAAAACATTTTAATGCAAAGTGTGCTTTTGGCTACAATTTTAATTGAGATTATGGGAAATACAGTCACACTTTGTTAAAATGTCAGGAAAAACTTTGGGCATCCCATTTGGCTCTTCGTATTCATATAATTTGTAAAGTCATTCGTAACTTTACGCACAGGTCATGACAAACAAAATAAATAGGGACTTTTAGATTTGCGTGGACTGATACGTGCGACGTCGATTGTGGCAATCCACATTGTGGTTGTGCAAATCTAAAAGTCCCTAATATTACTATTCGGCAACCTATTACTATACTAAAGAGTCGCATTAAAAACAAACTAGGGGTTTCTACTTCATTATCAATTTATTCAATTCAAGGAAATGGTCAGAATTAATACCACAATTATAAAAATTGACAAATGACTTTGACAGGTGACATCATAATGTTGGAAATTATGAATGCTCAATGAAAATTTCACTCACCGCTAAATCTATTTCAGAAAGTTTTTCAGCATACGAGTAATACAGTAATAGGAAGACCGTTTCCAGTGAAAATAATCAACATATAAAATAGAATAGCCTAATTAGGTCCCTAATTATTTCATTTAGATTACCGGTACATTCTTTACTGTACATGTATTTTATGATTAAACCAAATAGAATATAAAGTTTGCCTAAAGGAAAGCTAGAGTTGCTGGCAAGCTTACTGAAAATCTATTGATTTTTAAAAATTGGTGTCAGAGTGTCAAAGAAAAAGAGTTCTACATTTGTAATTGTTTGAAATATTATAGGTTTGCAAAGACAATCTGCAGTTGTGGTCAGAAAATTAAATTCTAAAAAATTACTATTCATCAAAAATTATAAATGAATTACAAAAATTATTACAATTATTGCACTTGATTAGTTGTCATTCTATTTCTCGTAGCATTTGAATTTAATTCATACACATAATCAAGACCCTATCAAAAGTGATTGCATTGATCAGTTTCAGGAACCACAATCTTTCTACAAAGTGAAAATGAAACAGCAAATTACATACTTGTACCTTCGTCAGTTCCTTGGACTGAAAAGTCTGGAACATGATAAGATCCAATCGGGACATTTTCATTGAGAGGAAATAAAACAGCAAATTACTTTAAGACTGCCTGACTGCTGTGGAACTATAGCAGACTTATCAGATCGCGTATCATGCACCAAGATAACAATTTCAACTTAGAATTTCAACATTTCCAAAGAAAATTTAGGGTTTAATGATTTTATTCATTTTGAGAGAAAAAAATGAAATTAAAAAATAAAAATTAAATATATTTTTTATGAAATAGGGTTATGGTTGGGTGCAAAGCAGTTCTCATTTGATGAGGTAATATGAAAATTAAAATGTAGAATGAGAAGATTACTGTGACCGTGGAAGATTCAGCGATCAAGCAGTTATGAATGCATTGTGTGGCTGGCAGAAGAAGGAGAGCAAATCGCACTGTTCATGCTACACGCCAACATGCACTCTATTCTTCAAGCAGAGGCCATTAGCATTAACTGTGCTTTTGGGGAATGAAACTAGGTACTCAAAATAATTAGTTTTCATCCATTCCTACTTTTTTTTTTATTAGTTGATAAAAAGAGAAATCTAAAAAATGGTGTAATATCATTAGAGCAATCAAGACCATAGTAGTTAAGAGAATTGTGCTTTACGGCGTGCGGCAGGGTAGCACTTTTCTGCAAGCCAAACAACAAAATACATTAAGAGTTTTTTGGTGATATTTCAGCAGACGGGTATTTCAAAAGAATTGGAAGCCTCTACAGCCAAAAATTAACGGAGAGCAACATTCAACAATGGTGTTCAGAACAAATATACATTACGACGGACGATGTGAGTAGGTCAAGCTGCACACTGGACTAGAAAATACAGATTAGATTATTCTCAGCATTGCTAAACTTATTTTGGATTTCAGAGCACTGTGATCTCATACTCGCCCACGTTATCTATATATTCTTTAAAACTTTGGACATACATTTGCAATATTCACCAACATCACTTAAATATTGAGAACACTAAAGAGAATTTCTCTACAAAAAACAAACGACACAAGTCACACAACAGCTGATCAATCTCCTAAAATTGGTACATACACTGTAGGTATTTGTTAGAAAAGCACAGATCTTTGTTGTAGAATATCTGTCATCCATCAAGAAATTCAATAAAAAGTAATTCCTGTGATTGTCATGCATTTAATTACATGCATTTTTCTAAATGAGGTCCCTGGGGGTTGACATCACCCGCTTGAATATAAAATTCAGTTGATGCAGCATTTAGTTTAAGAAAACTTTGGCCTTGGGTTGGGTTTGGCCACACTTCACCAAACCATAAGTAAAACTCACAACAACACTTATCACAAAGGTACACACAAGTCGGTATTAGTTGCCTATATTTTTTCTTCTTCAAGATTTGACTGCTGGAACTAAAGAAGATGAAAAGAAAGAGGGATGGTCTTTAAAGTTGCTCATGCATGGGTATATAGAGGGCAGCACACGGACGTACGCACGGGAGCTTAATACCCATTGGCTCAGTGTTATGTAGTGATCGCCAAATGCCTACTTCACGAACGACTACATACCCACGCATGAACATCTTTATAACTAGCTCTGTTCTTCATCAACATTCATTTTCTTACTAGATACATGTATCACCTTGTTCTTCCAGAAAAAAATGTATGTACCAAGTCAGTGGATTAACTCTACCCACCAAGTCAGGATCAACGATGGAGTAAAGATATTATACTTTGATAAATAAATACCAGCCACTGGAATGGTTCTTAAATAGTATAAAGTAATAACTCTGAACATATAAAAACTTGAATACTTGGTCCGTGGTTATAACATAAATGACTTTGGTAGCATAACCAAATTTCATCCAATCAAAATTCACAGTGATTTCTTTCCATCAAATTTTCAATTTTTCTTAGTTTTCTTCGTCTTCTGTCTCGCTTTTCGTGTCCTGTAATGTGCGGACCTCACCCGAAGCACCTTGGGATTCATACTGGCAGCAGTGGTTGTCACAGGATCCTCTGTCAGTGAGAACCTCCGTTGAGATTGGTAGCTCTTCCCTGATATCAGGGCATCTCTCCCTTTGATATGTCTCTTTGACCCTGCTGTCCTGGGTCTTTGTTTCTTTGACCTCTCCTCGCCATCATCCTCATCGCCGCTCTTCTCTTTGTACTTCCGAGCAGACAACCTTAGCCTCTCCATTCGGTTGGACACCTCCTCCGCTCCCTCTGTGGAAGCAACAGTCATCTTTTTGGTTTTGGCGCTCTGCACCCTGGAGCTGCTGTAGGTGGCAAACCCAGACCGTGGTCGTCCAAGGATGACGTTGTTGGTGTTTATGGCATTGTTTGGGGTTTTGCTTCTCCGGCAGGTATGACACGATTTAGGCCTTCTCTTTTTCTTCTCCTCCTGTCTGGCGTACCTAATGTGCAAGTGGTAACCAAAATCGGTGCAAACCCCATTGCAGTAGGGTTGACGACAGTGAACACAAGAGTTGTACGAGGCTGCAACTTTACTGGGGCAGTCTCCTGCACATACCAACTGCAGGCATTGGTCGCAGCAGTTCTTACTTTGCTTAGGTCTCCCTAGGGCACTGTGGGCTCTCTCCGTGGGAACAGCAGCATCGGCATTCCAACCTTTTCTGATCTGAAGAGCTGATTGGCACCTCCTCCTTGGAGAGCTCATCCCACTCTCCCATTCTGCCGTCTCGTACTGCAGCTTCTCCATCTCAATCATCCTCTCCATCAGGACCGCATCGTCCTTGTCCGGAGCTGTCCTGATGATAGTCCTCCAATCTTTGTCCAACATGCTCAGCTCCAGGAGGTCCATGTGGCAGTAGGGCACGCTCAGGGCCTCTGCAAAAGGCTCCTGTTTCTTCTTCCTGCTTGCAGTGGAACCACTGTATGGAAACATGCAATCGATATCCCCAGTCAGCACTTCTGGTGGAAGATCCAACCGCATCAATTTCCTCTGCATCTTCTCTTGATGGTTGCGTATCTTCTCTATCCGGTCGTTGATCTCAATCTCGTCTTCCGAGGAGTCCATGTCAAGGGATCTCATAGAGTTGCTTCCAACGTCATACTCCTCGTCCTCGGAGTCATCTGCCGACAAGATGCGGTCATCCAACGACTCCTCCGATTCCATGCCCAGCTTGTAGTCGTCCTTGACGATATCAAAGGGTCCCAGATTTTGATCGTCACTGGTGGAGGGTGCATCTCCAGCCCCTTCTGCATTAATGGCTTCTCCTCGAAGGTGACCTATGATGCCTGGTGAGAGGTGGTCAAAGTGACCTTTGGACTGAGTTAGAGTACTTGAGTGGGGTCGAGGAGGTGGGTTGAGTTTGTTCCTCTTTGATGTGACCAAGTGAGATTTGGGTCTCCTGTGAAACAATTAAAAAAAGTAATGGTTATTGACTGGCATATTTGGTCACTTTCAATATTTCCATGTAGTTCTTTGAAATAAATATGGTTCTTTATTGTAATAATCAAATTGGAAGAATTCCTAAAAATGTCCATGCTTTGTTTCCATTGATGCTAATTCAAAATACATTCAATTGAACAACTAGCATTCTCAAGCTTTGATAGAATAGCATCGCCAGACTAAGAACCAAAAGTCTATAAATATGATAAAGATTGTGACTAATCTTTTTAAAGACAACGTATTTATCTATCACTCACCGTCTTTGGGAGGTTTTGAACGGTGTCGACTGGATCGCCAGAGAGGACTGAAACCCATCCGTGCCCCCCTCACTCTCCTTGTGATTTTGTATGCTGGGATGACTGGCAGGAAGACTAGCAGCCAACTGACTCCGACGGACACCCTAGGATAGGAGAAGCAAGGCAGGCCACAATTAATGCCAGAACTATTTGTTCTGGTAATATTTATATGGTCAAGGTTCCCTAAGATAAACGCAAGCGGCAAAAATACATGCAATTTGACGTCTTGATTTCCCCAGATTTCTGAACTGACTGAGCAACACAATAATCATCGAGATTTGCCCCCAAATGTTTATATTTTTTTTTTCATATCATTACTAGTAAGAAATAGAGGTGAAATTCACATTTGCCGCAAAACAAAAAATTTGTATAGCTCTTTCATTTTGTTGAACAAATTTTAAACTCATTTGAAAACGACCAGAATTTTTTTTCTTTAAGGTATGCAGAATTTAAAAAAAAAAAAATCATTCTTCAACACTGAATTATATGTCTTATAGCATGATTAAACAAAATGCAGAGCTTATGGTCTACTCTCCCCCAATCATATCAGTATCTGTATTATCAAACTAAAGGAGTTGCTGACCTGAAATCCTGAAGTGGTATATCTGTTATTGAGATGCTCGCTGACCTCGCTGACCTGCTGGGTCAACTTACGGAACGTGTCCTAGGAACAAACAATAAAACAAACGATAACGCAATGAGATAACCTCTATGACAGATCGTCTCGGTTACCGGTACATCGTATGATATCCATTGTGAACATTGATCTTCTTTTACAAAAAATATATCACTTTTATCTGCTAAAATTTAAGATTTGCTAAACCAGTATCATGTTTGTCTTTGACCATTTATGAAATCCTTTTAAAAAAAACATGAACAAAAACATTATTCAACAATTATATCCCATTTACCAATACTGATTCAGTTATGATTGATGCACTTTTTGTCCCTATCTTTCTCTTTGTCCATACATGTATCTATCTTGATAAATATATCGAGGGGTCAGTGACACAAAGACGTAACTTCATTTTGGCCATTTTGAGAAATATAGTGGTTATGTGTCACTAAGCACTTGGGCCTTAACATTTTGAGTCTATGTTTCATTAGCCATTGACTTCAATGAGGTGTTGTGTATAGTTAAGTCTTTTGTGTTTCCTGGAAAGCCCACATTTTTCTGAACATTTTGATATCAAATACTCATTTGGGCAAAATATGGAGTTACGTCTTTGGGTGAACCCTCGATATTGAAAAAAATCAAGATATTGGAAGTCAATATTATCATAAAGTGTCAGATCTGAAGATAAATACAGCAATCTCCAAAGAAGCCTTTCAAGAACAATACACAATCCCTTTAATATGAAGATGATGATTATCGGTCAAGTTTTAGAGCACAACAAATATAGGGATCAAAAGTCAAGTTGGATTTCAGCCCTAAGGGCAAATACACAATGGACCATTGATAAACTACTTAACTGATAAGATTCCAGTTTACTTAAACTAATTACAAGGTACTTACTTGAGTTATTTTGTAGAGTGACAGATCATCTGAAAAGAGAAGGGATTTTTTTTTGGGTATAAAATCGGTTTTATAATCACATATTTAAAGAAAAGCTTGAGTTCTGGTAATGATAGAAAATGAATTCTCACAGAATCCAACAAAACTTGCACTGAATGTTCAAGATTACTAATAAATGACATGTACTGAACGATTTTGGTATATAGTAGAGAGCAAGAAAGATATAGGAAATCAAGGTAAAGTAGGCCTGACACCATACATTGAAGATGATTTCTACTGCAGGATAAACAATTCAGAATAAATTATAGCCATGTTCTCTAGACAGTATACAATCATTCCCATCGCAAAAGTTAGAAATTAGTGCAATGACTCGGTACATCTGAAAGCATTTTGAAAAAAAATATGTACATGTAGATTCAGGACTTGCTTAGCCTTAAGTTTTGTCTTTATTAAACATAAAGTTGTACTGAAACAAAATGTCTACATTCGTATCAAGAAAAGAGATGGCTTTCCCTTTTTTTCTTCTTCTTTTTTTCTTTGATTTTCATGAATGACTTCAAATGGGAAATAACATGATAATGACAGACTTCACTTTGTGTAGGACAAAACTTGATACAATTCAAAGAGCCTTAACACCACCCCAACCCTCCTTAAAAAAACTTTAGTAAATGAATTTCCCATCACCTTTATCACTATTATCAATAATATATATTACAATTTTTATGGCATTATTAATATTATTTATATTATTATCAATTACCTTCATGATCATCAACTGTCTCTATATCATGTTTGAAAGAAGACCAGCTTCTCCACTGAAGCGTTCCCTGGAAGAAATCAACATGAAAATGGTTTAATAAGTGAAGGACGCAGCCTTCCGTCTTTAACTCAAGGTTTTCTACCACAGCATCAACAATTTACCCCCAAGAAGGATTGCATTACATAGTTAACATTCAGTATAGAGAAGATATTGCAGAGGCAGATACTGATAAAATTTGTACAGGTGTTCAGGGAAACTGGATGGTCTTTTACGTTGTTCTTTATGGCCTGTAGCTTTTTAATTGCAATTAATGAATCGAATCTCATTTCTATGTAACGGTATGCATAATTCTAACGATGAATTCAATCATAGATGATAACAAATAATAATGAACACACATTGCAATGACAACTGACAATATATGAATAAATGAGAGCAACGGTTAAATGTAGCTTTCCTAATAATCTGTACGTACCAACTAAAATTCTTCGAAATCCATAGATACCATCTAGAGATGAGTGAAAATACAAAGGGTTACCGGTAATGATAAAGAAAAATAAGCAACAAACCTTGTCTAGACCCAGGTGAAGAGGCAGATCATTACCCCTGATGACTCCATCGCCTCTTCCCTTTGACTGACCCCACCCTTCCTTTGCCCCTCTCCCACTGATGCACAGTTCTTGGTTTCCATGGAGATTGTTCACACCCCTCCCTACCCCTCCTCCCTGATGATGGGGGTGGAGCGGGGATCTTTGGTGGGCTCGGGGAGACTGCTGATTGTTGACTGAAGTAGAGTGCTGACGTGTTGAGCGAGGGGACGTGGATCGCAGGCCGTGAGATCTGGAAAAAAATGCAAGAGATAGATTGATTTAGTAAATATGCAAGATACACACCCAGCCCCCCCCCCCCCCCACTCAGGGGTCGGAATGACCGCATGCGTGTTGCCAAAATGTCCGGTAAAGGGGTACTTTTCGTACTTTTCGTGCGGCCCGAGAATTGTAAAAAAAAGGGGTGTATTTGACTTTTCACCCAGAGGTTTCTTTAAAAAGGGGGTGTTTTATCTTTTTTTCTCTCATCTCTTTGGACTCCTGAAATATTATTCCGAATTTAGGGGGGTACATTGAGCATTTTTCCTGATAACAAGGCAGGAAAAGCCTGCGAAAAGCCCGCGAAAGGGGGGTTCGGAAACGTTGGCAGTCCTCAGATAGGGGGTGCTTTCAAAAAGAGGGAACGAGCATATGCGTACCCTAAATAACACACAAAAAAAAACACATCTAGTTTCATCATACAGATTCTTTAATTTCAATAATGAAGATCTAGACACCTACCTCGACTAATGCAAATAAAAGGGCAAATATTGGGATTTTAACCCTGATAGATCTAAATAAAGTTTGAAATGTTTGAAATTAAAATTAAACGAAACCTTGCCCCAAAGAATAAGAGTAGATCTAGGCCTAACAATTTAGATTTATAGTATTCTGAAAAATTCTGGCCCTTTTATGTTGTGTCAGAATCTGAGGCAATGTTACAGAGTCACTTTAATTATACAGCCTAGATCTACACTAGATCTACAGCCAAATAAAGGGCCCACGCCCAGAAATACTTGCCCACTGAACCCTTTCCGAGGGGGATGGTTCGTGTTTGGTGCTGGCCAACTCTGTCCATAGACGGCTGTCAGAAGAGCAGTATTGCGGACATCTAGTTGAGCCATCGTGAATGACTCTCGTGAAAATTTGTCCAAACCAAATCAAATCATCATTTCAACGATTCCAAGAACAAGTCAAACTCTGCACTGCACTGTTGCGCTGTTTGCCATATTAGATCTAGAAAATCTAATTGAAACATTATTGATTCAGTTTTAAAAGTATTTCCAATCGATTGCGTATGAATGAGGCGGAGGCAGTGCATGAGGCAATGAGCCAATATCTTTTCTCAAAAATTAAATTACAGTCTGCGAGATCGATATTCCAAGTTCTGCAGCACTGACTGGTACACCTAACTGAGCAAAGCAGCGGGAACCAGTTAACCCCCACAGCCTGAGCTTACGGGCGATCATGCGTCGACCGACAGCCTCTACAAACCCGGCAGTACACCTGTTGCACCGTCACTACAGTAACGAGACGCTGATCTGCCGGCGAATCCGCTAGTTGCCAATCAGACACAAATTATGTAAAAATTGTATTCACCAAATATATAATATAGCTATTAATATCCAGTAAAATATTTGTTTATGATTTAAAAGATTTTATTTGATTATAATAAATTACTTAAAGTAGATTTAAACGCTTTTAAAGGAAATAAAATCAACTAAAATCGGCCACACTAAGACCTCCTTGTCGGTGTTGAGTTTCTCGCCGGTTTACCATCACAAAGGTTATGGGCGCACCAGCCGTGTATTGTATTCGTAACATTGTTAAGGGGATGAGTTTACTGATATGACAAAAGGTTTCGGCCTTCACTGCTGCTCACTTGCCTCGGATTATTGGCTATTGAGAAGAAGGAAGATATTGACATAGCCCATTGAGAGGCCGTGAATTTTGGGAAAGGAATGGAGGCTGGAGGAAGGTCTTTTGACCAACTAAACAAAACTGAACAAACTTTTAAAAAAGTGACGAGTACGTCTTTCTAAAGAAACTATTGATCATGATTGATTGTGCCTTTTTGTGGTGATGAAATTCGTTTATTTCTCTTTTCATAGTATAACAAAGGACGATAATAGAGTCCCGTATGATGGTCTAAATTGACAGCTTGAACTACTTTTTGACACTTTAAATTAAAGCGTCAAAAAGTAGCTAGAGCCTCATCCGAGATGACAATTACTTTCAATGAGCTTATCCAACTTCATTTTCCAGTCAAGTATTTCTTGAGATCATTACCCGCAGCTAGAAATATGGCTAAAACAAATTTGCTCAGATTTCCTTATTATTCGATTTGTTATGTTTCATCAAAAAAATTAAAGACCTGTGTAGCTGCGGCCCCGAACATAAGTTTTTTCAATCTTAAAAGAAGAACTAATTTTATAAAACCTCTTAAACTGGCACAGTTCTATATGTGAATGTTATTTTCTTTTACTTCATTCATCTCTTCTTCAAGAGTGCATTCCCAGTGGAGAAAGAGGAAGAGGGTTTAATTACAGACGGGGGAATTCGACTCTCGATATTATAGGATCAGCTATAGCATCATGATGCTCATATTACTTGTGGAATCATGAGAAATATATTTAAAACAGTTAATATCCAGATTGTGCTTTTTATCATATGGGAAAATCTCGTTTTCCTTTTTCACATTTCACAGTAATATGCCTCGCCAATCTACAATATGACAACGCTGATCCGTTAAATTGATTAGACCTGTATATAATTGTTTTGTCTTTGTTGGAAATGTTTACCAGTTCCAAGCAATTTCAAGCATTTCTTAAAATTGAAGTATCAGTAGGCCTATAATGGACTGTTTTTCTCGCAAAGTTGGGAGGAAAAGGCGGAATACTTAAAATGCTTTATATCATAATGCGTAAGATGTGATTAGCATTTGAATGCAGAGCATTTGAAGATGTTACTAACAATCTTGCTTATTATTTTTGATTTCATAGTTTTTACATTACATACATACCAAATATTCAAGTAATTATATAATCCTGCATTTGGTGAACATGATAATAAAGAAGATCCACTCGCGCCCGCGCAAACGAAATATTTACAGATCCCCCATCTCCCCCCCCTTTCCCTTTAGTTTCTTCTTCTTCTCCTTCTCCTCCGTCGTCTTTTTCTTCTTCTCCTCCTCCTCATCCGTCGTCTTCTTCTTCTTCTCCTCCTCATCCTCCTCTTCCTTCTTCTTCCTCTCCTATAGCTGGAGAACTGTGAGATCCTGGGGGATTCCAAGATGAGTGTTTTGAGATAAAGATTTACGAAAATATAGAGATAGAATAATAAAGCAGACACTGAGATTTCAACATTATAGGGAGAGTCTCGGCGAACCAATTTCAAATGCTAACACATAAACAGAATCCTTTCTAGGTTTCTTACCCCTAGCCACCTAAATCGATTTTAACTCAAGAGCATCGATTTGGTTGTGGATATAATTGGAACACTATACTACAAACAATTCTCCGTGGTTATCGCGGTTGATTGTTGGGGACACTGCTAACTTTGTAAAGGAATTCAATGGATCGGGGAACAGAATTTAGAATCTGTCACAATATTGACTTCGTGAGAATGATGGAGAGTAGCTATGATGATCGTTTTATCTGGATTTATTTCCGTGCCTCAGCAAATATCTACTGAACTTTTAGACTTGTGTAAACAGTGACGGGCATATTCTTACTAAAGGAAAAAACATTCGGAATTTGATTATATTCCTTTCTCCCAGTTATTTGTGTTCGCAATTGCCAAGTTATTTTTTACAAGCTGCAAATCTCTCTCTCTCCATTTTTAACTTTGATAATTTCCTCTTCGATTCATCCGCACTATTATCGGATCCACCCCATATTCAATTGTTTCTTCTAGATTTTTGTCGTACATTTTGTTGTCTAATTTTAGACTGTCCCTTTCCTCGACATCGTTTATGATTTTATTGATCATCATCTACGTTCTCCCCTACCCCCTCCCTCCCTTTAATACTCACCCCTCTCTCTCTCTCTACCCCTCCCCTTTCATATCTCTCTCTCTCTCTCTACCCGTCTGCTAATTCTCTCTCTGAAGTCTGAACAATCCCAACTTTTCTCCTCCATTCCCTATACGATCTGTCCGTTTCCCCCCTCTTATATCATCTACATATCACGCCGTGCATGCGAGGACTACACATTACAACCTACCACAAATATGGACACTTATTGGAAATAGGAAAATTATTTATTACATTATACATATATGTCATCAATATCATACTGGAATAGAACAGTAGACATCAAAAAGATGCATAGTAAAGATCACATCATCTACAGAAACAATAATCAACAGAACTCTAAACACATTTGCAGTCCATTGACTTGAACATAACCGACTAGGAATGCCAGAAACTAAAAACAGATTCACAATTCGACAATTCCTATGACTGTTGCTAGGAAATCAAAAAAATAAATGGTTTACAACTAGTGGATTCCTTTTACAGCTATAGTGCTATGATGATAATAGTTCCTTAGATCATTAATTGAAAATGTCACATTTGAAAGCAATTTATTGAAATAAAAAATATATAAAAAATAAAAATTTGTAATGACTTAGTTGATTGGGTAAGGGATTTGAAGTACAATAGGCTATATTCGCAATGTAACCAAATTTATGCATATGCCTTTGTGAGGCGCCTCGATACAAATTATTTCAATCGCCAGTTGCAAATAAATGTATTGCAATAGTCAGAATTCACATCGAATGTATTAGGTGTTGCTAGGTAGGACAAACATTATGGCTTGCCCAACCTAACGACACGTAATATATGCAATATGCATTCCGACTATTGAAATACAATTATTCGTAACAGGAGGAAAAGTTCGTACCCAGGCTCTTCGGTGTCTATTGGGTTACATCACAAAAATGGCCTACCGGTATTCAATTTATTTAAGCTGTGGCACCTTATCGTATCATCTGGTTGGAACCAGAAGGACATTAACTCATATACTTCAACATATACTTAACACCCTTCTGGCTATAAACAGACAATTTCATGTGTTCACCAAATAACGTGAAGAGGTTAGCCAAAAGACTCCACAGTGTCAAAATACCGGAGCAAATTATTCAGAGTAGGTAATCCTCAACAACGACAAAAGGCCGGTTGGCTATCAATCAGCAATAAAATCCATCCACAGACTAAAAGTGTACAAAAATTCCTTGACGGATCTCCAGTAATAACAATTATTTTACTGGAAAAACTATCAATGGACGATTACACCATTCGTACTAAAAATATGCTACGTAAACAAATCAATACAAAATATGCAAATCTATTTCATTAATGTCAGCCTAATAAAATGGATTTTCACCTTACAACGTGTCTTTATTTAGTAGTATAAAAAAGAAAACCTTTGCTTTATTTTTTTCAGTCTATTTTAGGTTAGGTATATATTGGCCTTCGCACCATTTTCTGCTATTGTAATGTTATGTCAAAAGAGGCCGCCAGTTTTTTACCCAATAATGTCATTTCAATATTGACCTAAAGCAAAAAAAAAGACGGAGAAGACATTTTCATATTTAACACAAAATCATGACATTATTCTAATAGCTCTCTCTTGTCACACATACAAATAATCTGGTGGATTAAAAAGGCAATAAACAACAAAAAGCCTGAAAAATAGAGTATGGACGTTATTTCACTCTCTAATATTCAGTTTGCGATTATCACAGAAAAAAAACTATTTCAAGATGTTGTTCATAGTGCGAGAAATATCTAAAATAAACATACAATCGTGACCACATCGACATCAATGTCAGTTTCAATCTTAAACATTTATTGTAGAAATGATATTCACTACCTACGGTAAAACTGAAGCGTTGGAAATATTTCTAAAGGCTCATCTCATGATCGGCTAAATAAGGCAACTAGATACAGAGTATACATGGAGAAATGAATATTAAAGAAATAGAATCAATTTGAATGTTATTGACTACACATTATTTAGCCAAGACAACTTAAATTCACACCTTTTCTATACAAAAATTCTGAAGATATGGCACCTCTACGTAAACAATGAAAACGATTACTTACACAATAAAAGAACATGAAATAAGCCCTTTATTATGTGACTGAAACAGTGACAATGGCATGTGTAAAATACAAAGTTACAATACATACACTTTACAATGAAATATATTGTATGTACCGGTATATAAATAATCTACCTCTAACATAGACTTATATATGGCTACCACTAAAGTTCCTTTCCAAAGAGAGAAAAAATCCAAAGACATACGATGAATTTTACAGCATTAGGCCCTGTTACTCCTGTACATCACATTTCATCTCTACATTTCATCATTCATAAATGAAAAATTTCTACATACTGGTATGCTATGACTTTTGGTAGCGATACCAGGGGAGTGTTTCACAAAGACTGAGATCGACTTTAAGCTGGACTTAACTATGGCAAGCCATTCACGCCACTGGTCGCACTCGCCATTGGTCTCTTAATTATGATCTTTAGATAATATTTTTTTCCTTCAATAATGAACTATCAAAAAATGTAAATTCTGTAGATTTGTGACAACTGCCTGGCATTTCTCTTGAGAAACCAATGCAAGGAATGGTTAGAGGAACTAGTGGCATGAACGGTCTGCCATAGCTAAGTCCAACTTAATGTTGATCTTAGTCTTTTGTGAAACACCTCCCAGAAAGCTTAGCATCATTTTTCAATGGTCATTTCAAGAGACTGAGAGTCCTGATTTTTTTTAAATAAAAAATGTGGAAAAGGGACATACCGGTATGTTGAAGGGGACTCCGTTGCATGGAATCGCCCAGCAGCAAATACGGTCACTAAATTTTGAAGGGCACTGACCAATCAAAGTTTCTGATAACATTGGTGCTTCAAGAATACAAAAAATGTGTTGCAATCATCTACATGTACCTGATCTACAAAAAGGTGTGTTTGTTGGAGGGAGGATGTGAACTTGAGGCCTTATCACAACAGGCAATGTGATTCATTTATTCACAAAACCTGTACGAATAGAGATCTGTGACATTGCAGATTTGTTCATTGGCCATTACTCATATGCCATAATGCCTATGGTCACCAGATAGGTGGAATTCAAAGCGATAAGACGCGATGATGATCCTTGCGTCAGCTTAGAACAAGATAATGAACAGTAAAGTACTCACGATTATACACGTATGGTTTTGTGACAATTATAAATTTCTCTTTAGTGATGATATTGAAATATTGCCACAGGAAACATCTCATCTTTTTATTCCAACACATCAAAGTTATGGCCGACAAGCCGTATAAATACACCAACAAACTCTTTTAACATCAAACATGACGCATAGAGAGGTTTTGTACATAAATGTACGAAATTCGAAATTCGAAAATATATGTAATAGCTAAGATAAGACACAAACACCACAGCATGATACATCCTTAAAAATATATTTTAATAATCAAACAGTCTCCCTCCTTTCATTTTTTTTGTTTGTATAAAACTACCTATGGTACACAACTACAATCTACAAAATAGCTACGATACTTCCTGGCTATGCATAAGTTGATCTCCTATTTTTTCTATTCAGCTTTCTATTCTAACGTACCCTCAAGGGCCTATAATTCTGTACATTTTTAGGTCTTATTGAAGAAATATGTACACCTTGGCCCAATCAGATATAGACAATATGAACATTAAGTCAGACGGCTTATTGTGTGGTAGCTAAAGTTTATACAGCATTTATTCAAGAAAAATACATCCTGACAGAGTCATAATGATAACAATTAAAAAAAAAGTTTGTGACTGTTGAATGACAGGTTTGGCGATTTCTTTGAGGAATTTTCACACCAATGCTTCATGCTTGAACCAAACTTACATCAGATCCCTTCTTTGACGTTTTACGATCCAAAGGAATTAAACGCACACATAAACAACTGCATTAGAAAATTTGCTAAAAACAATCATTATCGTGGGCGAAGAGAAAAAAATGTTTCAAGGGATGGTTAAAATGAACTTTTGAGTGAATTTCACTATCTTTTGTATTAAAGTTCTTTCAATAATAAAACAAACACTCAAAACAAGGTAAAAGCTGACTTGTAAAATAAAAACAACGATCTTTTCGTGGAGCGTTGCTTTCTTTCGTGTGTTGACTAACTGTAATCACCATTCAAATGTTAATGATCGTTACACATTAAAATCTGAATAGAGAGAATCAAATGATCTCTAAATAAAATAAATTAAAAAATAATATATCTGGACACGTTAATTACCAGAACAGCTACATCGCGAGAAAGAAAGAAAAAAACAACAACAGTGAATCAAGTTTTACATCGAGTTCAGTTGCTCTGCTTTCATGCATGATATTTTAATGCAGTACAAGGGAAACAAAGCATGTCTGAAAAATAATTCTAAGCTTTGGATAATTTGTAAAGCCCATAGTCACAGGGTGCATATTGCCTAGGGAATTTCTGCAGACCTGCAAATGCGGTACAACATAGACTGTGACACAACACATGCAGGAAATGAAAGGAAAGCATCCGGCTTCACTAGAATAAAGAGCAACTGAACTCGACTTTTACAGATTGGACTTCTACGGCTTTCCACAGAAGACGTAGCTTGCTATGGATAAGAAGAATGTAGGAGACTCAAATAGACAAAGAGAAAATGGCCAGAGAGGCTTGCAGCCCACAAGGTCTTCTGTCATCATCGGTCAACTGGGATATCATACCTGCCAACATTTGAAAATGAAAATTAGGAATTTTTAGAACAGTATGCCTTCAAAAATAAGAAATCCCACTTGCAGCGGTAGTGTAACTGGCAATACGCGGTAAATCTGTATCAAAAAGCAACTACAAATTCGCTGCTCGATCATGCAGCCATTCAACGCACACATTACATGAACTCTCAAGTCGCGGCACATGATGAAACAAGCTTAATTTGGCTAAAGCACAAAAAAAAATTGAAATTTTGTTCAGAATATTCCGAATTTTCAGGTCCTAAAAATCAAGAACATCAGAATATTCCGGATTATTCGGAAGGGTTGGCAGGTATGGGATATGCCGCACAACGACAGAGAGTAGCAAAGAAGACGGAAAACAGAACGCGACACACCAGACATACACTATGAAGAAAGGAAGGTGTCCTTGTTGTACGCAAATCTCCGCTCCACACACAAATATTTCTAATTTTTTGAATTCCAGCCTAGTTGTGCGGAAGCTGAATTGATCCATCATTATTTGTTCTTGACTTCCTGTCTGATCCGCTTCGTGACCCGTCCGCAGCAGAGGCCGAAGAAAAAGAGGACGCCCACGAAGGAGAGGAACACCATCACAAAGTAATTGTGAGATGGAGAACTTCTGATCTGGTTGTATAGCTCGTAGAAATTTAATGCTGGTGCCACCTGCAGCAGAGAGGACAAGAGAGAAAGAAAACAAACGTTATATTATCATCATACAGTTGTGTGTTTGATTGAAGTTCGGACAAAAAATGGATTCAACCCAACCGCCCTACCTGGTCTAAAACACATAAGCAAAAGAATATTCCCCATGACAAACTGTTGGAACTTGCTCACAATTTTAACTGATAATATATAAGTGTGTTCATTTCATTTCTTCTCATCTTCATCCCCGTTTTCCTTTTCTTTCCATTTTCCTTTATTCCTCTGAAATAATATCTAAATGATTAAAAAAGAAATTGAGATATATTTTAAAACAAAACTTCACAACTCAACTAATGTTTGACCATTTTTTTAATTACATATGAATTTATAAGCAGATTTTACATTTTACTGATGTATGAACATTTATAATTCAAGTGAAGAAAATACAGATTCTCCCACTTTCTCTCCCTATCCAACTCTTCCCCCACTCTCCCTGTCTCTCAAAGCCCTCTCCCACACTCTCTCTCTCTTCCTCTCATATATTCTTCTTATTTTTCTTCTTCCTCTTTCTCCTCTCTCGACTCTTCCTCTTGCTCTTTCACTCTTCCCCTCTTTCTCTCTCTAATCCCTCTCTCACTTGCTCACTTTTTCTTCGTCTTCCTTATCCTCTTCCTCCTCTGTCATCCCATCCCCCTCCCTCCCTCACGCTCTTCACCCTCTCCCCCTTTCTTACTCTTACCTTACCTTCCCCTCCCTCCCTCCCTCCCTCCCTCCCTCCCTCCCTCCCTCCCTCCCTCCCTCCCTCCCTCCCTCCCTCCCTCCCTCCCTCCCCCTCCCCCCTCCATCCATCCATCCCTCCCTCCGTCTCCCCTCTCTCTATCTCTGTATGTCTGTCTGTCTTACCTGTGCAGCATATTCCCACATTTCTTTTCTTTCCGTCATCATCCTCCTGCAATCAGGTTGTAAACTTACTGCTTTCTCATCTAAAGCCTCCAGTAGACAAGACATCTCTGAAACAGACAAACAAATTCAACAAATAAGTACTCCCAAAATTGCATTTTCCATTAAACTATCACCAATAATACCAGAACTGAAATAATGCACGTATTTTGTATTGCCATCCTCTTCACAATAGTGTTGTAGTCAAGTGCTGCCATGAGGCAATATTTTAATAGCCCTGGCTAGGACTCGGACAGAGTCATTAGCACAAAACCTATGGAAGGTTAAATTGTCAGCAGCTTTGTGACTCAGAACTACTGGCCTCGACTACATCACTGGTTTACAAACTCCCATGATGTTCTTCTTAAGCACACTTGGGGGTGGGGTATGAAAGGGGTATTGTACTTCCCACCAAGACTACTACTATTACTATTACTACTACTATTACTTCTACCGACGACGATGATGATGAATACTAATACATGTAGTGGGTTTCTGAGTAGCACTGCTATCTGCCACACTCGACTCTCCCTGAACTCTAGCCTTATCCTCCCGACTTCAAAAACGGTGCTTATAAAGCGCTTTCCACCAAATTCTCGAAGCTGCTTCTAAGAGGGTCTGTGAAAGGGATTATAACACTTACGTTGGCCCTGTCCTTGTGGGATGCCTGCACAGTAATGTTTGATGTCTAAAGCACAAGCCTTGTAGAGCAGAGGATCTACATGGATATCGGCTAGACCTTCACGGAAAAGATTTACCACTTGCTGTTAATCAAAACAAAAATCAAAGAAGATTCAATAATGACAGTATCATTGTTACTAAGAAGAGCTTTGAGGCACACCTCCACATCACCGGTTCCTGGGTTATCCATCTCCTTAGAACACTTCTCTTTGATGGTACAGAGGCATTACCACCATCGCGACAACCATCACTGCAACTATCACCGCAACCATCACCACTTCCATCAAAACACTCATCACCATCACAATTAATACCATCATCAAAACCATCACAACCACTACCACCAAAACCACCACAACCACTACCACCAAAACCACCATCATCGTAACCTTCACCACAACCACCCACACACACAATCACAACCACCATTACAGCCAAAATTATGACCACTGTGAAGACCACTGACCTGTTGGCAATTGCCATCCTTGATTTCACAAAGGCATTACCACCATCCATCGCAACAAAAATCACCGCAACCATCACCACTTCTATTAAAACACTCATCACCACCACAATTAATACCACCATCATTACCATCACCATCACCACCACTACCACCGAAACCACCATCATCATTACCATCACCACAACGACCACTACAACCACCCACACAATCACAAATACAACCACAATTACGACCAACATTATGACCAATGTGACAACCACTGACCTGTTGGCATTTTTCATCCTTGATTTCACCAAGATGAGCCTTGAGGCACTCCTCCACTCTACCAGTTCCAGGGTTATCCATCTCCTCGGAACATTTCTCTTTGATGGTATGGGAGCAGTACTTGACCAAGTTGCGGTCCAGCCGGTAATCCTCTGCACCTTCCTTCAACAACTGCACAAAATTAAAATATTGATAATAATAACATTCATATCCCCACGTAATGTAAACTTCTACTAACCTCAAAATTATTTTACAGGTTGGTATCATAAATAATAAAAGGTATTCAGTGTTATATATTCTAAGGCTGTGCATAACAGTGTAATGAGGTACTCGAGTACACTCCCAGGATTACAGGCGAATACTCAAATATTCAGACGCCATGTTGTTGTTTTTTATTTAAAAAAAAAAAAAAAAAAAAAAAAATCCTGGTTACCTGGCACTGTCCAGGCACACGCTTACTCGTGCCGGGAAGTGCGCCGGCCACCGGCCACCGGCATGGTACCGTGGGGAAAAATGTTTCCAGCTCAATCACTGTCAACTCACCTCTCAGAAACTGGGACCAAATGTCCGGATTTCTGTTTGGACTCGGAGGTAAAGTCATCTTTGGTTTTAAAAACAGCATTGTTTACTATTATTATTATTATTATTAAATCGGCGCCTTCAACTGCAACTCGAAGTAAAATAGCGGGAGTTTTAGGAGACGAACTTGGGATATTTCCCCATAATACCTTGCGTTACTTCAGGGGGTACTTAAGGCACCTAGAGAGCACTACTATCAACTCGCACAGCAAACTATTTGATCCACAGCTCCGCCAAATATACTACTCACTCCTAGACCACGACACCTTGACTAACATATTCACAGCAAGCGATGCACTATCACCATATCTTTTACAGTCGGTGAATTGTTTGTAAATAGTTTGATAAACATGAAATCTGGCTTGAGTCAACATTATCTCCAATCCATATTACAATTGCAACACATTTCTCCTTACATTTTTCTCTTAAAAAAAACGTGTATGGCAATGATCAGCATTGATAAGCAAAAAACGGATTAGGGGTTCACTAATGAGAATTGTCATCCTTTTTCTTCTTCCCCTGTAGAAAACCCCAAATTATACCTATCATTGCAATCTAAAAGCTCTTAAGAATAAATAACCTTGTAATACTTACTCCACTCATATGCTTGTCACAGGCCGGACTTAACTTCTGTAATCGAGAAAAAAAGCAAAGAGAAAAATATATTTCTGAACATCTTAGGACACAACCAGATTTGTACTTGGCGAATGAAATGCACATTAACATGGCCATCAGTAGAAGAAAGAGTGTGGCAGACAGTCCTTTCATCTTCTTTTCTCATCTTTTCCCCCTCACCATTTCCTCACCTCCCCCTTTCACCTCACTTAATACTACTATTCAATTGGTTGAGGAGGGGAGGGGAGCATATGCTTTATCTGGTCATGTGTAGCTTAAAACTTGGGCAAGTCTAGATGTTTGTCTCATAGGCTACCAACATCATTAGTAACTCAATGCTTTATCAAATTTATAGCCCTACTAGAGCTTGGATCGGATGAATTACAAATAAAAGTAAACTTGCCTCTTAATTTTTGTTAGTTTTCTCTATTTTGGGTAACGAATGGAACAGCAAATGACCAAGCACCTTGGACTTGCATAAATTCAACAATACATAAATAATACATAAATACATGAGGTCTACTCACAGGTTGTCTCTTGGAGAACTGCCCTCTGAGGCAGCCGATGATCTTTCCCTCCATGGCAGTGGGGTTGTTCTTCATCTCAAGCTCCACGTCTTTGCAGAACTTTGGAATGTCCATCTTGCAGGCCTTGCGCAGCAGAGGATTGAGCATGATGTTAGAGTTGCGCTCTATCTGCCGCTTGTTCAGCACCATCCTGCATCTGTGGATCAAGTTATTTGATTTGATTACATTTGATTTATTGGTTTCTGCATTTTTTTTTCTTTCTTTTTCATCATACATTTTCATCAACATAATACGGTTTGCTACAATATTTCAAGTGAACTTAATTTTATACAAATAATATACGAAATCAAACAAATATATTGAATGCATATTTAACATACATTAGATGCAGGAGGGCTACAGAATAAGCAAAGAAGCTTGACTTGCCCACAGCCCTCAACTTAGATACAACAATAACAATACAAACTAGATGGAATTTTGACTGCGCGCAGTCGAAAATGATGCCTCCGCCATAGAGCAATTTAAACAAGTTTGGAGTTTAAATCTCCAGTGGTTCTTGAGATATCATGATAACAATCTCAATGTATGGAATTTCATAAGTTGACCTCTGTGACCCTTGACCTTTGACCTACGTGCTCCAAAATCTAATCAGATTGTCTTCCTATGGTGATACACACTATCATTAAGTTTGAAGTTTAAATCTCCAGTGGTTCTTGAGATATTATGATATGGTGATACATACTATCATTAAGTTTGAAGTGAAAATTCTCCAGTGGTTCTTGAGATATCGCGATAACGATCTCAATGTATGGAATTTTATAAGTTGACCTCTGTGACCCTTGACCTTTGACCTACGTGCTCCAAAATCTAATCAGATTGTCTTCCTATGGTGATACACACTATCATTAAGTTTGAAGTTTAAATCTCCAGTGGTTCTGGAGATATTATGATAACAATCTCAATGTATGGAATTTCATAAGTTGACCTCTGTGACCCTTGACCTTTGACCTACGTGCTCCAAAATCTACTCAGATCGTCTTCCTATGGTGATACATACTATCCTTAAGTTTGAAGTTTTTACATCTCCAGTGGTTCTTGAGATATCATGATAACAATCTCAATGTATGGAATTTCATAAGTTGACCTCTATGACCCTTGACCTTTGACCTACGTGCTCCAAAATGTAATCAGATTGTTTTCCTATAGTGATACACACTATCACTAAGTTTGAAGTTTAAATCTCAAGTGGTTCTTGAGATATCATGATAACAATCTCAATGTATGGAATTTCATAAGTTGACCTCTGTGACCCTTGACCTTTGACATACGTGCTCCAAAATCTAATCAGATCGTCTTCCTATGGTGATACATACTATCCTTAAGTTTGAAGTTTAAATCTCAAATGGTTCTTGAGATATCGCGCTAACAAACTCAATACAAGGAATTTCATAAGTTGACCTCTGTGACCTGTGACCTTTGACCTACGTACTCCAAAATCTAATCAGATCGTCTTCCTATGGTGATAAATACTATTCCCGAGTCTTAAGTTTAAATCTTAAATGGTTCTTGAGATATTGTGATAACGGTCAAACGGGACGGACGTACGGACGTACAGACGGACAACCCGAAAACATGATGCCTCCGGCACCACCTTCGGTGGCGGAGGCATAATAAAAAAGCAGAAGAGTGACTTGCAAAGAATAGGAAAGGGGAGAGAAGGAGCGTTGGTTTTCTGTTAATACAATAAAATAATCTAATACATCTGCTGATTGAATGCAGGTTCTTTCATGGATGGATAAACGATGCTAGGTCATGGACGATTATACGTCATTGGTTGAGTATACAGTCACTGTACACACGAACATGAATACAGTAGAATTACACACGACAGGTTCAATACTTAGACAATAACACAGTTTTAACTGCCTTCTTAAAGGCCCACTGCACTACTTGTAGCTACTTGCGCCCTCTACATAACAAACAATGCCTAATCGGTGACCATTAGTCCCCCATGATCCTCTTTTTCTTACGTTAACTGAGAGCTGAGTTAATTAGGTAACCACCTGTCCAGTGACCTTGCAGGGTAGTCTAATCCCTCCTGTAAACTACGGCAGATAAGCTTTAAAAGAATACAATGTTCTAAGGTTTCTTACAGTGTATTACAATGGGCAGAGAGTTCCAGATGTCTGGGCCAGTGTGTCTAATGGATTTGAGAGCCAATGTGGTTTTTGGATTTCTTAAATGGAATTTTCCAGCTTGCCTTGTTATAGAAGGAGGAATTCAGCCTTTAGATGTCTGCGCTTATTACAGTCAAATCTCACTACTGAGGCAAGCCAAGCTAAATGGAGAGAGAGAGAGAGAGAGAGAGAGAGAGAGAGAGAGAGAGAGAGAGAGAGAGTGGCCACTGTAGGCAGGTGGCCTTTCTAGACAGGTTCTACAACAGGCATTTCTTTTGTATATACATCCGATAGGATTGGTCATTTGTGTGTGCGTGTGTGTGTGTGTATGTATGCATAATTTGGGTTTTTACATACGTTTATCAATCAGATATGACCCAACCTTTAACATCACCATCCGAAAGACGTTCAACTCAGTCTTGAACATGGGTTCGCTGAGTCAGTTTATAGGCGAAAACAGAGAGCTGACTGTACCACAGACATTATCAAGATCAGGTGGGTGTTTCACAAAGATCTTAAGTAGAAATTAACTCTTATGAAGAGCCATTTGTAGCCTTAAAAAAAAATGTATTCAAAAGCAAAAATTAAGTATTGTAGACTTTTCATAAATTCAAGAACATGAGATTTCCTTGATGATAGAAAATATGAAAGATTTGAATCGACGTTTTATGCTTTTTAAAATAACTTTTACAAAATATTTTCAAAGATGCTAACGGCTTTCCATGATTGCTAAGTCCAACTTAGAGTTAATTTTGAATTAGGATCTTTGTGAAACACCCCCCTGTTAGAGTTGAGTCTTACCTTGGTTCTGTATCAGGATCATCCTTGTGCTGTTTCAGGCAGTCAATCAATTTATCAGGGTCTACGTCTTTACACTTGGTCTGGAAAACATCAAGAATCAAAGGAAACAGGAATAACATCTTCATAAATTATTTAACATATCACCTGTTATGGGAAGCCTTTCTAGAGACGTTTTTTGTTGGAACCCATTAGACTTTTATACCATATTACCAAATTTTAAGGCCTGTTTAAAGATACTATGTCCCTTTTGCAGCCAACGTGAAATTCTGTAGAACTTTGCAGGAATTAGGAATATGTCATGTATGTCCTATTTGTGAAATTTAAACATTCGCAGTGTCCTAATATTCAAATTAGGCAAGGAAACCCGTTTACTTGCTAGACTTCACTGTCAGACACTATTGAGTGACTGACTGGCTTCTTTTCATCTTTGGTAATAACATACATCAAATGAACTGTAAAGGGTACATGAGCATGTGTCTACATCAATAACCCACTTCTTATGATGGCCAAAATTAAACTGATTGAATCTTTGCACAGCATAGAACGTACGACCATCCGGTACTATGGTCTGAAAAATCAGACTATTACTTACTGGCCCTTTAGCTCCTAAGTTGATTCGACAACTAATGGTCGTTATTTTCCCACTTATACAGGTGTCATTTGTAAGACACACCTTTTGACCCCCGGGGATGGTGCGTCATGGTTGCTTCATGTTCCCCAAAATCGCGACGCACAGTACCGTCATGGCCGCAAAATGTCCGTCACAATACTGACCCATATGTGCGTCATAGTAAGTCACTTTACCACGTTGCGTCATTTGGTGTGTCAATGGGACCGTCACTTTCTCCAAGCAGAAGTGTTTCTCAAATGTGCGTCATTGGCTAGTCATTTTCATGAAATGGTGTGTCATATGTTTGACTCAAATGTGCGTCGATGGAATGTAATGGTGTGTCACTTTCTGTGACGGAAGGTGCGTCATGGTATCAAAATGTACGACTCACATCGGTACAATGACGCACCATTCCCGGGGGTCAAGAGGTGCGTCTTACAAATGACAAGTGCATTAAAGACATTTTCAAGCCCCCCTTTTTGTTAGGGAAGTTCTAAATTAGTATTGTCTTTTAAATGCTGTTGGAATCTAACCTTTCATTTTTTGGGCCTGCAAATGGGACATAGTGCCTTTAAAGGCAGTTCCATCATACCGAATAGAAAAAAATCATGGAAAAGTGAAGAAGACAGCTTGTAAAATAAAAGGATCCATTCATAAGGCCAACTGGTATCATAGTGCCAGAAATAGAAGCAGATGAAGAGTCTTGATCACTAATGTCTGGAAATGACAAAGCACCTAGCTAGCTAGCAAGCACGCTAGGTATACATGTGTGTCATTAAAGAGAAGGTTGAGTTCTGGGAAGAGGTGAAAAATACTTTGTGAGCATTATTATTGTTATTATGCAAGTGTGGAAGAATATCAGATAAAAAATGTTCCCTGAAAAGCATGGCTCCTGAAATGCCTTAATATTCTAAATATGGCATGTAACAGCATACAAATTGGGACAGATTTTTATCCCACATGTTTGTGTAGTCCCTTATACATATTTCTGTGTACAGTGCTTGTAACTTTAAGACTGGGCCAAATTTCTTATCATTTTGATGATTCCAGAACCTTGCAGTACACACCAATACTTATATGCTGGATGATCAACGTTTTCTGGTCGATTCCACACTGTCTCTTTCACAATCTATTTGAATGACCAAATCTCAACTTCATCTTTCAGAACAAGAACAGTGAAGAAAAGTGATGTACCTTGATGGTTTTCTTGCAGGAATGCATGAGGGCATAATCAATGTCAGGTTTGGCAGCCATCTCTTTCTCCCTGTTGAAGACCTTGACGTGGCAGTCATTGCCCAGTTCTTCCTGGTGGGACCGTAGGCACTCCATCACCCTGGCATTGCCCTGGGTCACCGTGGGGCAAAGCTTGGTGACTTCCGTGCCACACGATTTCGTGAGCTCGGGATCCAACTTGATGTTTTCATCCTAGGGAAGCAAAATGGGTATCCTTGAATAAAGTTCAAATTGTAGAAGTCCACACAGCACACACAACACCAAAAAACTCTTTCACCTTAAAAATGGTCTTATAACAAGCCCTAGTACATTGAACCTGTAATCTTTGAGGAAGTTTCCCTCCTGTTTGACCCTAACATGGATCGAACCTGAGCTCTACTTGACACTACCCAACCCCGACATGATTCCAATATAGCCCTAGCCCTAAGGTGACCCCTACTTGACACCTACATGACCCCAATTTAACCCCATACAACGTCTACTTGACCTCTACAAGACCTCTTACTCACCCTCTGAAGGAGCTCAAACTTAAGTTGCGAGCGGCACTCTGGATCTACAGGTGGTTCCTTTTGTTGTAAGACACTATCACGCACAGCTGTGCTCAGACGATTGATGATGAAGGGCCTTGTGAAACAACCTGCCCCCACCATGAACCCAATTTAACCCCATACGACCTCTACTTGACCTCTTACTTACCCTCTGAAGGAGCTCAAATTTAAGCTGCGAGCGGCACTCTGGATCTACAGGTGGTTCATTTTGTTGTAAGACACTATCACGTACAGCTAAGCTCAGGCAATTGATGATAAAGGGCCTAGTGACCCTACCTGCCCCCACAATGACCCCAATTTAACCCCATACGGCCTCTACTTGACCTCTACAAGACCTCTTACTCACCCTCTGAAGGAGCTCAAACTTAAGTTGCGAGCGGCACTCTGGATCTACAGGTGGTTCCTTTTGTTGTAAGACACTATCACGCACAGCTAAGCTCAGGCAATTGATGATAGAGGGCCTAAGGAAAGAATAGAGGTAAGTGAATGGTATCGAAAGGGGGCAGCAGTAGGTTGATTGATGATAAAGGACAAGCCATAGAAGATTTCTTGTTCACTTGTGTCTCATATACAACAATGGTACAATGAACGTAAATCATCAAGTGACATTTTGAGCATCATTTTACTGGGTAATTCCTTGCACTGGATGGGCGAACGACTTCATTCAAACTCCAGGTAAACTTGAATCTTTGGTTTAAATTGTTAACTAGTGGTCATAAACTTTGGACTTGCCATGCAAAAAAATTTGCTTCCTTGCAATAAATAAATGATCTTTGTAAAAAGAATGGTCACATGCTCCGAGGTTTACAGATAAAGACCAGTTATGGTCATGCAATTGCATTTTGAAAGAAACGTTGTGAAATCGATCAGAAAAGGTTGATATCTAGCATAGATGTACTGCAAGGTTCTGGAATCATCAAAATGATAAGAAATTTGGCCCAGTCTTCATAAAGTTACAAACACTGTACACAGAAAGATGTATATGGGACTACGCACACGTGTGCGACACGTGCATTTTTATCTCTCACACACCAATAAATAAACTAATCTACCAAATATATCAATTAGTAGGCGGTTTCCCGGCAAATTTTTTATCATCATGTATTATTCAAAACATATATCTTTCACATGATTGGTAATAAGAGCTTCCATTTAATTTTTTGAAATTGGGGAGTTTCCAATACTGGTCTTTACCTTTAATGGAATCATACTACTGGCATCTAATGTTTGTAAGGAGTCCTATTACTTGCAGTTTTAACAAATATTTCTGAATGGTCAGTACACTAAATATCTGAATCACTTTGGGATACATATACAAAGACAGAAGGACTGAAAAGGATGATAAGATTATAATGTTTTTAATGAAATGATACACTGTAAAGACAATCATTGAAAACAATGCAGATTTATAAATCATGTATCCTTGTAATACTCACTTATCTCGGCTTCCTTTGCAGAGTTTAAGAACATCTTTGCGACAGCTTTCCTTGAATTTGAAGGTGAATTGGTAATCTTTCAACTGAATCTGTAAATGCAAACAGAATGTATATATATATTGCAAACAGGTTATTTGTATTGAACATTTTTTTTGGTTGAATATCAGTGTTCTTTAAAATATCCAATGCAAGCCTGATATTTAGTATCCATCTATCCTTCCTTTTATCCATGAAACTTTCATTTAACATGATAATTACAAGTTGGAAAAGTTCAATGCTAGCCTGATATTTAGTTTCTATCTAATCATTCATTCACTAACTAATTCATCCATCCATCCATCTATTTTTTCCCAGGGGTGATAGTGAGCACACACACATACAACAACAAAAAATCAAAACCCTTTAAAAAAAAAAAATGGGAAAATTTCAACCAATTTTTAACCAGAAAATCAGCAACAACAAAAATGAAATAATGAATCGGTTTTTAAAAATTGAGCAAAAATCAGGTAATTATTAGGCCTGATCCTTTGCTTCATTGATGACCCACTCATCTAACAGGATACTTACAAGTTGAAAATGTTCAATGCTGGCCTGGCATTTTGCCTCCATCTCATCATCATTCTTGTGTTCTATCAAACATTTCAAAGCTTCTCCTTCATCAACCCTCTTAGCTTTCAACTTATCCTGAGAGAAAAATAATACAAAAATACAAAGACTTAGTTTAGCTGTTTTTAAACCAATATAAAATAAGACAAAGATATAAAAACAGAATTATAGTGATAATACTTTGGCCCATATTCTGATGAATAATCAAACTCAACTATTCATTAAAAGCTCTAAATTGTTTGATGTAAGTAAACTTCTTGATGTAAGTAAACTTTTACTATAACAGAGCTTTCAAAATTTATTATTTATCTTTTTTATTAAAAAAATAATTCTCCATTTTCTTAGCGATACAGTCTATATACTGACAATAAAATATTGATTCAAATCACATTGGAAACACTTCATTACAAATGTTATAATTTTAAAGACAAAACAAGCGATAACATTGCGAAAGAAGGTGTTTGGAGGAAATTGGGAAAGACCAACGATGTAGTACAGAAGAATTGGAATAGACTGAGAGGTCTCAGAATCACCAAAGGAATAAGAAATGGAATCGTCTTGCCGAGAGTCACATAAAATTGCACACAGAAATATGTACATGTATATGGGACTCTACACACACGAGTGGCATGAAGGTTTGGTCCACACTGTGCAGCAGCAGCAGCTGTTCCTTGTCATGTTTGAAATAAGAAGAGGGTATTAGTGCATTCGAAAAGCAATCCTTTTCAGGGACGTTCCTTCTATGATATTCTTCCGCACATGACTGAAAAGGACGTTAAATGGAGGCCCCGTGTACAGGAGAGTCACCACCCTTGCACGTTAGGAACCCACTGCACTATTCGTATCAGAGTAGGGGGAAACCCCGGTGTAGTGGTTCACCTGCACACCCCAATCAGGCTGAGTATATACGGCATCTGCAAGAATCTTCAGTATTTAAGGAGGCAGATTTTCTTGAAGAAAAAGAAGAAGAAGAAAAAGCTCAGAAATGCATTTTTCATCTTCACCACAACTCCACCTTCTCCTCTCACCTGGCAGAACTTCCTGAGCATTGGAGCGCATGCTGCGATGAGCTTCCTGTTCATCTGCACATCTTCTGCTTCTTCCACAGTGAAGTTGCCCACGGCTTGCCTGCACTTCTGTCCCAGATCATCCATGTGGTCTTGAAGGCACCTCAATTCCTGGAAAATTAACAAGTTTAAAGCCCCACTGCACTGCTTGTAGCTACTTGTGCTGTCTATATAGCAAACAATGCCTAATCAGTGCCTGTTGGTCACCCATGATCCCCTATTTCTTATGTTAATTGAGAGCTGATTTGAGGAGATAACCACCTTTCGGGTGACCTTGCAGGGTGGTCTAATCCCCTGGCCAAACTAGTACAGACAGGCTTTAATCCTACTTAAGTCAGTTTCCTGAGAGCTGATTTGAGGAGATAACCACCTTTCGGGTGACCTTGCAGGGTGGTCTAATCCCCTGGCCAAACTAGTACAGACAGGCTTTAATCCTACTTAAGTCAGTTTCCTACTTCATATACATTCAAATTATATAAGGCAAGTCCAGGGTATTCGTTCATTTGGTTTTTAATACATTACCTATTATCATGGTATTATGAACCTAAATTGATGTTAAAAGTATAATTTCACTTGATAGTTGGCCTGCTCGAATATTGATAAAAAAATACATAACTTGGGTTTTCTGTTGTACGCAGAAAACCTAAATTTCATATTCTTTCATCAATATTCGACTTTAAACACAATCGTTTTGAAAATTCCTACAGAAATGTGTCTTAAATAACATCCTCTTTCACATTATGATACAATTTAAGTGAAATGTTGACATCAAATTTTTTGGGCTCCCAGCACTTTAGAGGGGCTTTAAACAAGATACTTATGGCCTTTATTTTTTCTTGCAAGTCTAAAGACAGCAGACTTTTTGTTGCTTACCTCTCCTCTCTTGGTCTTGTCGTTACAGTGCGCGCCCAGATCGACCCGGCAGTTCTCTTCTATCCTTGGGTTGAGGTGCACGCTCACAGCCCTCTGACGGAGAACACGGTGGACTTGGTCAGCACAACGGGATTGAAGCTGAAGTACAAAATAAAGGAGTTTTAACAGAGGGCCAGGATACTATGCTTGCTCGCTCTATCTCTCCCTATTTCAATCTTTATCTCTCTTTCTATCTCTCTCTCTCCTGCACCCCCTCTCTCTCCCTATATCTCTCTCTCTCTCCCCTCCCCTTCTCTCTTTTTCTCTCCATCTTCAGCAGACAAAATCAATGACCAACTCTTGCAATCACCATTACATGACGGTACATTCAGCCCTCCACATACTGAAGGATGCATGGCAAGGAAATTCTTTAGCAAATGCACCGTTTGAATTATCCAACATTGTAAAGGTACATGAGTTAATACCCTTCAGGCTTTCAAAAGACAAGAGAGGATTCTTACAGATGCCTTGTGGCCATGAATAGATGAGTTCTATACATCTTTCTGTGTACAGAGCTTGTAACTTTACAAAGACTGGGCCAAAGTTCTTATCATGAACCTTGCAGTACACACCAATACTTATATGCTAAATGATCAACCTATTCTGATCAATTCCACAACGTTTCATTCACAATGTAATCGCATGACCAGAACTCAACTTTATCTTTAAGTTCAGGGCCACAAGGGGGCTCACGCTATGTAAAGTATATGAATTAATGCCCTCTTGGCTCTCAGCGGGGAGCATACTTACTGGTTGGGAGTGGTCATGGAGATGACGATGGAGACAGGAGAATACAAGACCGCTGGGGGTCTCCTCCTTTCCATTCCACTTCTCCTCGTAGCAAAATATGCTGGCATCCGATTCACAGTTTTTAAAGAGAAGAGGGTCTAGCCTATAGAGACAGGGAGAATGGACAAAGGTGATCATGCAGTGAAAACAAAATGATGGTAATCATAACGTACTATAAAAGAATGTCATGCTAATCATGGTCCACTTTATTATTTACGTATGCACACGTAGTGGATAGCCATGGAGAGAATGTGTCCTGAGAACCTCCCGTCAGTATTCCAGATTGTTTGATGTTCTTCTGGTGACATTTCATGATTAAATGGATGTTTTTTAACCATATGTATGATAGTCCCTGTGCCATTGACATGAAGCTACCACTAAAGGACGGCCTTGCTTGTGTATGCATTTCTGTGTAACGACAGCAGCAAAGAGCATGCCATTGACTGCTGACAGCCCTACCGCTAGTGCAGGCGGTCGTTGTGGCAACACTACTTCTTCCTCGCGCTGTCAAAATGGGCGGTTGCTGGCCGCGTTAGGCAGGTGGTCATTACAAGCGGGTTAGTTAGTACATGACTATTCTGTGGTGGAATTATTTGTGGTCGTTATGGTCAGGTGGTCGTCATAGACAGGTGGTCGCTAAGGCTGTTTTGACTGTACCATAAAGAAGACTGAAAATAAGACAACTCACCTGAAATTTCTGGAGATGAAATACTGTATTTCCATAAGCTTTTCAGCACAGTAATCCATCATCTGGCTATCTTCAATATTTTCCATTAAACAAGACAGAGTTCTGTGGGAACAAAATGCAATATGTACTATTAGACAAGCATACCAGTCGTTTAAACCAAATTAGCCTGAAAAGAGGCCCCATCATGTTACATCCCTATACATTCCATATGACATAGAGCCAGAAACAGATGCGTGACAGGGCCTGAAATCAGGCAATAGACTAAAAACTGGCATCCCTGATAACATTATGGGGAATGAAAACAGAAACCATGCCATCAAACTTGGGATAAAATAACAAAATAAATGCCACCAATAATAATAATAATAATAACAATATTTGTAATGCGCAACATATCCATCTCTTAGTGATGCTCAAGGCGCATACAAATGAAGAAAAGCTTTGAATTTTATATGTAGATCATTCAACTTGATGTGCTCTGTATTTTTCTTTAAGAATCTCCTGAGAGCCTTGCTGGATTAGGGAAAATTGAGAAAATAACAAATAGTCATTGCAGTCAGTCCGATATCACTCCAAAATAAAAGCTGGTAAGGCCTTTTCCCTGACTAACAGATTTACAATTCACAGCAATTCAATTTTTCTATACTAATGACTGATAGTTAGGAATTCAACGAGTCCAATAAATCGATCGTGGGGAAATGATCACCGAAGTGACCTATGATGGAGCACACGTTGTACAATCCTAGGGATACCTACTCAGCATCGTCTTTCTTGGGGCAGAGAAGGGCTCTGGACTCCTTACAAGCATTGCGAAGAGCGGGGTCTATTCTGTAGTCTGATCCAGCATCAGCCTCTTCCACAAGGGTAGACAGCTGCAAAACAAAAGTCCAGTACATCGTCACACATTTGGGGTCAATGGTCATATTAGGAAGTCAAAAGTTGACTGCAAATATCAATTGTGCAACCAGTTGTTCCTGTCACTGCTACAATTTCATGCTATGTAACAAAGACCCACAGAAACAAGTGTTATCATACTAAACAAGTTTTATTGTGTAGGGTATGGCCAAAGATTCAGGAGATGCTCATTACCGATTGGAGTGGAATATACGAGTAGAACATGGAGGCACCCTAGAGTTTAAACATACAAAGTAAAACAAGTGAGGTCTTGGAGGCTGCATTTAAACACAAACCATACATTTTGTGTGATGTCTTCATATATTTGGAATGAAGACCTCTCTCGACTTAGGTCTTTACATACAGGTGGTCACTCTGCGGCAGGTTGAGAATAAATCACTCACCCCCTTCTTGCATTCAGCCGATATACCTCCCTTCTTAGCCAGCGCCATGAGGCAGTGGATTGTCTTTCCCTCTCGTCTCAAGCCCTTGCACTGGACATCAATCTCACTGGAGCAGGCCTTGACGAGCCCAGGGTTGATCATATAGTCGGACATGATCTCCTTGCGGGTGTCTGTGAGCTCAGCCTGGCATTCTCCGCTGATTTTGTTTCCTAGAGGGAGGAGGAATCGAGGTGGTCAAAGGAATGTCCTCAGTGGGGTCAGGGTTTCAAGAGGCACAATGGTTCAATGGAAACTTTGTATTACCTTTAAAAATAACTACTATACATTTGAAAATGGAATTTGTGCTGAAATATGAATTTGACTAACCTGCTCTGCCAGCACTTTCCAAGCATATCAAAATTTCAGCCAATTTGACCTCCTTGGTTTTGGTTGCTGTTTCCTGACATCCAGCGGTCTGTATCTCCTTCTTGCACCGACGGTGCAGCCTGAAGTTCACCTTGTAATCCTGGGCAACAACCTTCTGCCGGGTAGTAAGCTTGTCTTTACACTGTTGAATCAAAAATCAAATCAAATCAAATCAAATCAATGCAATCTGAAGATTCAGGGGAGGCAAGAAAAGTGGTCTTCATAGGCAAGTGGCCTTTATTACATGTTTGCAATGAGAACCACTTTTCAAAGGGGAAAATGTGGTCTTTACGCACAGATGGTAACTGATGGAGGAGGCCATTTGGGTACAATGTATTAAAGCCAAACTGTACTACTTGTAGATACTTGCTCCCTCTATATAGAAAACAATGCCTAATCGGTGACCATTGGTCCCCCGTGATCCTCTTTTTCTTATGTTAATTGAGAGCTGAGTTGATGAGATAATCACCTGTCCAGTGACCTTGCAGGGTGGTCTAATCCGTCCTATAAACTAGTACAGATGAGCTTTAAGCACTTATTTTTACACAGGGTGCGGGGGGGGGGGAGAGTAATTTTCATGAATTTCATGAATCATTCATTGATTGCAATTGAACAACACGCACAAATATTTCCAGGGCTTAACGAGGCATGAAAAATTCACAAAATCAAGCTCTGTTGCATGAAGCACACAGTGTCTGTACAGTAGCACAAGCCATCAATGGGTCATGCGGCGCAATCGGAGACCAGACTGATTATAATGAGGCACTTCAATAGATTAATTTCATTTATTTCTCCTAAAATAATTCTTATATTATGACGTTTACGTTACTCAGTAACGAGTTCATGCTTCACAGAAACAGAATGGAAGTAATTGCAAAGCATAAATGGAAGTGGTTATGGCTTAAAGGGATTGGGTAACTTTGTCTCAGATTCTGCAATAAAATCCTGGATTTAGCTCATGCTGCAATGATAATTTTAAACCTTTAGGTCAGCCAGCAACCCCACGACTTTTACAAGCCGATCGTGTGTCTGATTATCAAGATATTTATGATTGGAAATCGAAATTCAAGAATTTGTTTTCCTAACGTTTTTTATAACACTACTGTCTATTGGGAAAAATGTCACTCCAAGATTTTTACTTCTTTGAGGCACTTTGAGGCACATATCACAGACACTGCTAACACGTAGGGTCATGCATCTCAGAATTAACAATGTTAAACGATGCCTTTTACACAAATATAACAACACTTTGAACCTCTTGAACCCTGTATCTGCGAAAATATCTTTACGTGAAAATAGTGGCTTGTACGGCACTTACATCTGTGCTCATCTCCGGACTGAACTTATGTTCCTTGAGGCACTTGTAGATGTTGCCCTGACCGGCATGTGAGTTGGCGCAGAACCTCTCCCGATCTTCCTTGCAGGCGAAGAAGAGGGACCTGTCCTCATGGTAATCGTTGGAGGAGAGCTCCGCCACGCGAAGGATCTGAAGCTTGCAGTCCTTGTCCAGGGATTGGATGTTCTTCTCCAGGCAATGGATGGTGCCACCTTGGGAGTGTGGTGGCTGGGGCTGTGAGGGTTAAAAAGAAAAAGATCATTGCAATGGAATGGATTCCTGCCCGGATATAAACATTAAACCTCACCCGGTCAAGTGCAGCAAATGTAGATTAATGTCTTGCCAAATGACATTGGTGGTTCTTGTAATTGTATAGTGCTCATGTCTGTCACACTTTACATTCATAGCACTCCATTATTATTATCCTGGCATAAGCATATCTGCAATTAAGGACTTAATTCTGCCCGGTACCCACTAACCTCGAGTGGGTGGACAGTGACAAATATGGCAAGCATACAATATTTGACAGTGACAGGGACGGTAAAGAATATTTCGCAATAATAATCGCGCGCACCTTGGAGGCTTGGCCGCGTAGGGCCAATTGGTCACATGCATATTTAGTAAATACATGACCTGCTGGCCATTCATAGTGAAGCATGAATATTAGAAGATTCCTGCGTAATGTCCCTAGACACAGCTCCTTGTGAAATGGGTCGCTGCCATATTCAGTACAGTAAATTATCCATCGAAAACCACTAAAAATACAACGCTTACATTTGTACAGTCATTTTGTGGTGTAGATCCTATATAGTTAAAGGCCCTTTCATACAGGACAAAAGCCTGCAAAGCATTTGAAGAGGATTTTGTAAGGCTATTCAGAGGCTCTGTTTCAAATCCCTGACAGGCAGTGGTACCCTCATGCCTCTAAAGAGTCTAGACAATGTATCAATACTATTTACCAATACCTCTGGTTTCAAGCTTATAGGCTCATTAGTCATGTAATCTGTGGGATTCTGAGGATTACAGCCAAGAATTTCCATTTCGGTTTAATAAAATTTGGAGTGGACTATTAGGCTATTATTATTATTATTATTATTATTATTAAGAGCCATAAAATTGTTTGCTTTAAGTGCTTTTTGATTGACTGAAACTGCTTACTAGTAAGTGATTTCTTTAATAAGCTTTTGAGGCCTCCAAACTATAGGATTACAGCTTTAAAATAATGACATATCTTGGGAGTATTTGAGGAAGTATTTACTTTGCAAATATGGTAAAGAAGAAATCCCAAGTAGGTTTATCACATATTGGAATGTCATTTCATGAAATCACATAAATATATATATATATATATATATATATATATATATATATATATAATGTAAAAATAAATGGTTCTGCGTCGGTGCATAAAATGAATAGGACACAAGGTAGATAGATAAAGTCAGTGTGGAGGGTGACACTCTTGCGACTGATATTCACTACAAACCTACGGACTCGCATTCATATCTCAGGTTCGACTCTTGTCATCCCCCATCATGTAAGAAGGCCATCCCCTTTTCACAATTTCTGAGACTAAGACGAATTTGCAGCGACGACACTAATTTCAAGTCAAGAGCGAAGGAGATGAGAACTTTCTTCTCTGACAGAGGCTATCCCGACAAGATCGTCGAAGGGGGAATGATGAAGGCTAGCCGAATCACACAACATGACGCTCTGACTAAGAGACGTAAGGATTCTAATTCCCGCACCCCTCTTGTACTCACGTACAACCATACATCTCAGCGAATTGCTAAGGCCGTACGTGAAAACATCAACATCCTCCGGGCTGACGAGACGACTCTTAGTGTATTTGGGGCCAACCCATTCATCACGGCGTACCGGAGGGGGAAGAACATCAAAAACGAACTTGTCTGCTCAAGACTTCCCAGTCAGATACCCCACAGCATCACTAATCCTGGTACCACTCGGTGTAAGCGTCCTCGTTGCAAGACCTGCGCCCATGTCTCATCCCATGATGTGGTGGGCCCCAGAGGAACTTGGCATATCAGAGGAGAATTCACATGTACCACCACTAATGTCATTTACGGATTGACATGTACCCGCTGTTCCATGGTGTACATCGGGGAGACAAAGAGACGCCTAGCCGATAGAATCACGGAGCATCTGCGTTCCATACGCCTGAAGACAGCCGGACTACCTGTAGCTCACCACTTCAACATCGGAGATCATAATGCTGATGACCTTCAAGTATGTGTGCTGAAATCTTGCCGAGATGAGAAAGAAAGGAAGCTGATGGAGGAGAGGATAATCTTCAAACTTGGCACTCTCCACCCGGACGGGATGAACGCCACTTTCAGATCTTTCCCTAACTCACACTGAACTTTGTTGAACTTTAATATCTTTATTACGTCATAATGCTTTTTCTATTGCTTATTTTTCTTTCTGTGCGCCTCTTCTTTTCCTTTTCTTTTGCTTTCCGCGTATCTCCCCTGGAGATACGCTCTTCTAACGCTCCCTATATTTCTAATTTTCTCCTATTTTCTTTCGTCACAATGGTCCAACTTTTGAGCTTTGTGACGTTTCTCTATCTCTTTTTCTCTTCTTTCGCGTACTCTCACGCGCCTTTGCATCTTGACTACCAAGCGTCGCCTATATATTTTTGATTTTGTATATTGTTGTTTATGCTTGAATCACTTCGATAAAGGGCTATGCCCGAAACGTCAGTGGAATATTCACTTCTCCGGTGTTTTTATTTATCTACCTTGTGTCCTATATATATATATATATATATATATGTACCAGTAAATATATAATAATGGATGTATGACTATGAAGCAAGAAAAGAAGTCAACACATTCCCCATTCTTGTGTTCAAATCAATTTTGTCATTGCTGGTTTAAAGTTTAAAGTATAATTCAAATATTCAAATTTTTATTACCACAAACGTGGAACTTTACGAAAGGCAAGAAATTATGTTTTTAATGATCAATCTTGTTAATTTGACATCATGTTGCTGGGGAGATTTGGGTGTGTATGGTTTTTTAAATAAAATATATCTGTACATAATTTTGATCACAGTTGGAGTTTGGAACATTTTTTTTCTTCCCAGAGACGGAAGTTCAAAAGTAGAGAGTAAATCAAATACAAAAAAAATTGAATATTAACTTAGTAAAGTTCAGGAAACTCGATGCCATGTTGACTCTCCTCGTTTCACATTTCCACGAGATATAAAGCAATTTGTCTGTGCAGTCCTATCGGCTCAGGTGCTCTATCAATAAGACTATCAAGACCTATAGGATTTAATGCCCTGTTCTAATGCCCTTTCTAGATGATACACACGAGTCAATGTATGCTATCTTCACAAAACAAATGTTTCTCGAGAACAGTCTGTACTCAGATTGTTCTATTCAATAGCTCCACAAAGTTCAATAGCTCCACTAAAAATCTTTCAAAACTCATGGCACCCAGTTTTGGCTTAATTAACCTTGTAATTAAACAGACTAATGTTTTACCATGAATACCCTTGTATGGTGCATTATGAACACTTAGGCTAACTATTAGAACCTCTCAGGATTCAATTAACAGTTTCTATTGCTCTCTGATGTCCACACAATAAAAAAAAAAAGAAAACAATGTATGCAATACCCTGTACTTACGAACCAAAAACCAGATCTCTGAAATCTAAATAGCGATCTATGGTCAATTCGGTTTGAAAGCTTGAAAAGTCATAATAATATTCTTGAATGTATATGTATAACCAGTCTTGGAAGGAGAGACGTGAATGCGTTTGAATTGCGCATGCTTATATGTTAGCATGGTGTCAATATGCATAATAGCTAGGTAAACGATAGTTGTTGAGTTTTGTACTGCCAAGGCATATTAAGTAGTCTGATTTACAGTAATAATCAATGTTAAGTGTCATAACTTGGCCAGCTATGAACAAATGTCTCTCTCACATTCTTGTGCTTACTTTGAAGTAATCCTTTAAAAATGTGTGATGCACTATCATTTTGGGGGAAGGGGGGGGGGGGTCGGGTAGGGATGGAGAGGGGAGATCTTTGGCAAACAACATGAAGGTGAAATCGCCAACGAAAATGAATGAACAGTGGACCCACTGGCGTATGGAGTAATTGCTTTCACTGGCTTGATTAATGCAGGTGACAATGCCATAGAAATAACGCCTTGAGTACAACAGACATCAGGCCAAGTGTCGGGTTTGACCAAGGGTGCGTTTATCGTGTCTTGCCACTAGATACGTACATATCGAACCCCACTTTGAACCCCACTATACAAACGTGATTTGCGGGATGTCGCATTTATTGTCTCTTCACGATTCAAAATAAAGGCCTTGTCTCTGCGCAGCTGCTTTGCGCCGTTTGACCCGGGAAGCAGACAGTTTCTCGGAGGTCAACTACACACACATACTTGTACAACAAGATGACACAACACATGGTGTGCGCTAGCCTCCGAACCGGAAATTAGCCTGGGAAGGTCCGATTTGTATGTGGGGTTCAAAACAGCTTTGCGTTCATCGTGTCTCAGAAACGTGATTCTGGCTGTATGTCACATTCAAAAGGGGCATTTTTCGGCATTACAATATGCCCATATCTAAAGACGTTTGAAAAAGGCTTTGTGTGTACCACCTTAAAAATTTGCCTGAAAGACGTTTGAGAAACCCGATTCTAGTAAAAAAATTGGTCAATAAACGCACCCCAAGTTATAAGAACATGGATCTAAACATACGTATGCCGTACCTTGTTTAGCGGAGGTGCCCCACCTTCGTTGACGACGCCGCACTTGAACTTGTCAATGTCATCATTGCAGGTCTGATAAAAGCCTGTGATGAGCCTGTAGTCACTGAAGATGATCTGCTTCATCCTGTTGAGGTACTGGGTACACTGGTCGATGCTTATCTCCTCTACGTGATCGAGGAGGCACGGGAGAACCAGACCCTTTCCGTTCTCAAGGCCGCTGCAATCTGAGAGCTGTATTTCACAATGATTGAAAACAAAATGAGATTTCATCTTCTACAACAGTCGAACTTAACTCTAAGTTGGACTCAACAATTATGGAGAGCCATTTGTAGCCTTTAATTAATATATTTAAAAGAGAAAAATCAAGTATTTTAGACTTTTTATAAATTCCACATCAAGAACATGAAATCTCCTTGATAATAGAAAATATGAATGATTTGAATCAACATTTTATGCCTTTTAAAAATAACTTTTGCAAAATATTTTAAGTCCAACTTTGAGATAAGTTCAACTTAAGATCTTTGTGAAACACCCCCCAGCAATAATAACAAGAATAATATTAACAGTGATGATAATAACAATAATAATAATAAAAATTATAACAACATTAAACATGTAACGAGTAATGATGATAAAGAGTATATTTGTATAACATATCACAGAAGTAGAAAGGTGTCAATGATTTTAGTAAAGCCCCTACAAAGGATTCAAGAGTATAAATCATTTAAATGCCCTTTGATGTTTAATAATGGGGGTACATTCTGAAGATATAGGCAAGACATACATGTAACTACTCTGTAATGTATCCAAACATTGAATATATTGAACGTGGTATGTGTACCTTTGACAAGTCCTCTCTGCATACTTCAGCCGCAGCATTATCAAAGCGATAATCAGTGGTCAAATTCTTCTTGTAACTCCACAGAAACTAGATGGAAAAAAAACAAAAGCATGTAACATTAATTATAACTTCTGTGAAGCAATATTGCAAATTCAGACACAACAAAAATAGAGGTCATTGTAAGAAACTTGAGAGCACACTAGAATCATATGGGTACACATGTGCAAGGGGTCGACTCCCATGCCGACCCGGATATAAAATCATTACCATCTCTCTGAAATTGGTGACCATTTGAAAGTCTGGCATGCTTGTAGCTTGAGGAGTGATTTCATGTCTATCAAGTATCAACTACAAGCAAGCATGTAGTCTGTTGAGAACTAAAAGGGCATTAATTCAACTCAGAAGCTCTTTACAGACTCAACACCCTTCTGGCTCTCAACAGATTAGAAGCACATCATTCTACTAGTGATTGCACCCTTTTACGAAATACTTAAAGACCATACGCGAACTGAAAAATGAAATGGATGAATTATTAATCAACGGAAAGCATATAAGCTAGATAACTTACAATAATATTATGTGCCATTTTAGTGTCTGTCAGAGGAGTGTCTGAAAACTCAAAATCTAAAGCTTTGAAAATTGGAAGTTGACGACGTAAAACTTGCTATCGACTTGATGACATCATCGTATGTGGAGTACGCATATTCACGATGACTTTGCATGGCTTATTGCCTCAGCTATATATGTGAACCGATGGGGTCCACATGTTGTGTCGTCACTGTAACTTCGGCAAATTTGACCCCTGTTGACCCATAATTTGGCGGGGTGCGGAAAGTGAAGTTTTAATTTGTTTTTGTGCAATAATACACGGGGGCTCAGGGCAAATTTGCCCCCCAAAAGAGCCCCTGTAAATTTGCATAGAGTTCAATGCAAAACAAATTTTAGAGAGTTATTTTTATGCAGGCAAGCTTGAAAAGGAGCCCCTGAAAAATAAATATTAATTTTTTCCCTGTATATATATGTATTCTACATTCATTCACTTTCCATTTATATCAAGTTCTATTTTCATCAGATAGGGTCTTTAATTTAGAACATCACCTACATGAACTCATCAATCTAACCCTGACTACCGATTACCAGAATTCCAATCATATAGCTAGACGAGAATCGTACGCTATTAGCTAAATTAAACATTATTTTCTAGTCTAGACATCGTATAATGAAACGTATATGGAAAGGCATGTTTGTGCATCATTACAAATGAAAACCTCGATAAAGAATCAGGGTCCCACTCAAGTCAGAATGTAGTATTGAACAAAAATTGTATAAAATTGTATGAAATTGTATGAAATTGTATGAAATTGTATGAAATTGTATGAAATTGTATAAAATTGTATGAAATTGTATAAAATTGTATGAAATTGTATGAAATTGTATAAAATTGTATAAAATTGTATAAAATTGTATAACATCAAATAACTGGGTGAGGTTTATCAAGAGTTCACATTGATGATTGGCCAGTTGTTTGTCAATTTGACCTCATAAAAATTGTTTCTTCATACTGATGCTGTTTGCCAGTCTATACAAAGTGTATGAGAGAGGTATAAAGCAAGATATTCTTAGCACAATGTACGATTTACCGCACGACATGGGCATCGCCATTTTTTTTTATGCCTACTGATTCTCCAGAGGCACTCATCTCTACATCGTACATATCATGCAAACAAGTATGAATAAACACATCATCCCATTGTAGTAAGCCCTGCCGTTTTTTTATACATAAATGCATTTTCGTCCCTTCTTGTTCCGATCAATATAGAAGCTTTTGACAAGAACCAGTCATGCTTATAACCAGACAGAACAGACAAAAAAAGATCAATAGTATTTCTGCATTATCAGTTAGCTCTGTAAGTTCGGATGTGTGGGTGACCTCAAAAGAGTACTTGGGGACAAGGCTATGTACATTGTACACGTGGACGATGGACTTGTTTGCGTACAGGTGTATTAGTCATTTGGATTTTGAACAACATGTGAACCTTAGGCTTATACCCTTTTCCTACTCCCAAGATTTTCCTTAGACCAGTACTATCAGCGGGGCTAAGGGAGGCCTTAGCCCAGCCAACAGTACTGGACTATGCTTCGCCCACTTCATTTTCATACTCAATTAGCACCACCTTTGGGGTGTGGCTAAGGATAAGAAGTGGGCTATGTTCAAGTGAGACCAAGATAGACCATTTTCTTTGGTAAAAATGTAATCAAATTTGATGCACAAATCTTTGATAAGTGCCTCATTACAAATTATTTCATTCACCTGTTATGAATAATTGTCTTTCAAAAGTCAGAATGTGAATTGCATACATTGATAGCGCTAGGTAGGACAAACATTAGGGTCCTACCTACATGTATAACAACACGTAATATATGCAATTTGAATTCCAACTATTGAAATACAACTATTTTTAAAGCCCCTTTTAAGTTTTGGGAGCCCCAATATATATATTGATGAAAGATTGTATATTCTTTTATCAATATTTGTCTTCAAACACATTTTTTAGGAGAAAATCTTAGCAGAAGTGTGTCTTAAATGACATCCTCTTTCACATTATGACACAATTTAAGTGAAATTTTACCATCAAATTTTAAGCAAATTTGGGTTTCCCAAAACTTTAGAGGGGCTTTAAAAAGGTGAATTATAAGATATATTTGTAATGAGGCACTTAAAGGTATAGACCAGTTTTGGAAACGCCCCCTCTAAAAAATGAAATGGAAGCTCTTATTACCAATCATGTGAAAGAATATGTTTTGACCACCGTAATGCATGATGATACAAATTTTGCAGGGAAACCGGCACCTTATATTAAATTATTGCAATCTAAACCTTTGAAGGCAATATTTAAACAATATTGAATGGATATTTTGCACCCAAAACCCTTGAACCGCAATTTTATCACCACCGGTGAATACCTTTAACAAAGATCTGTGCATCCATTCACTTTGATTACATTACAAAAAAGACCTATTGAAATACATGAAGTTCAGGGTTAAGCATAGTATAGTGAAGGCCACTGCTGTAAATAGATATCCGTAAGCAAGTCAATAGACCACTCCAGAGGTAGCACAAGTGGACCCTGATTACCTGCAGATCTGTTAAAACGCGGGGAGAGTCCCACTATGTGCATTTTAGTTGCCAAAGTGAGAAAAATACTTTTTGGAGACTTACCTCTTGTCTGTCCTCTCAAAAAAGAATAATTCCACCTGCGTATCATATAATGTACTATGCAGTGCATAAATGAATTGCATAATCATCTAAAACGGGTTTGAGTTTCCTACAAAAGACCTTATCTATAGCTTCTAGTCTTGGGGTAGCCATTGCGCAAGTGAGCAAAGGATAGCATGGGGTTATAGGCGAAGTAAACCCTGAACTTGGTTTTATTAGAAGCAGAAGAGGGAAACAGGTGAGTGAAAGTTTGAGCAAAATCAGATTAAAAATAAGCAAGTTATGAATTATTGAAGTTGCGATTAATCAAACACAAATTGGCAACTCTGTGACGTATCTTGTGAGGTTCCCTCCCATTTGCACTGTACTAATTAAAAATCAGAAATGCCTATTTCCCCCAAAAAAATTCAATCATACATGTACATGCACCTTACTTTTGTTACCGGTATTGCAAATATGTTTCTATACAATCCCTATAAGAAACAAATCTTCTCCGTCACATATACTGTAATTAAGAAAATGAAAGCTTATGAAATTTCTGTACAGAACACATTGGAGAGGACCTTGCAAGATATGTCACAGAGTTGCCAATTTGTGTTTCACCGACGACAGCTTCAAAATTTCATAACTTTCCTACTTCTAATCAGATATTGCTCCAACTTTCACAATTACGTTTCACTTGTATTTATGCTTTTATTAAAACCAGCTAATGATCTGAATTCCTCTTTAATACTCTTCTGGACCCATACACATGACAGTCTTTAATAGATCAATAACTGTCTTCTTGATTTTAAGAATCAAAAGTATTATTTCGTCAATATCATTACATTTGCATGGTTGCCTTTAAATTGATATTTTAAGTCGTAAGAATAATTATAGCGAGTAGCTTTCATGTTTATACATCCATACAAACATGTATACATGTACATCATAGTACTCCAGTTATAGGATTGAATATCAATGATTACTAAGTATAATAATTACAAAATACATGTAGAAAAAAATCAAGAGATACTCACATGGTTACAATCTGCTGATATATCACTGTCTGCCTGCATAACAAAATAGAAATGAGAGAACAAATAAGAAAGTGAGAATAGTATGACTTGAAACATTCAAATTGTACTTGAAATTAGATAACACATGTACATTTACTGTATGTCATCTGTTTTAAGGAAAGCGTTTCAGAATTCATGGAGACATTTACTGGAACTACCAATCAAACTTAAAAAGAAGCCGGAGTTCTAGGAAAGGTGAAAAATAATTTGTGAGCTTTTCAATTCTCTATACATTAGTGTGGAAGAATATCGCACACAAAAAAGCCCTGAAAGCGATAGCTTTTTTTACAATCTCTTCATATAATCAAAATATGACAAGAAATACATGTATCTGAGGTGTATGGACCAATGTGTTTGTGTAGTCCCCAACACACATAAAGTTGGATGAACAGTATGTGACTTTCAACAAGACTGCCAGACCGAGTCAATTTCACTACACATTCACTAGTTATCATTCACATCCAGAATGCTTCTTTCACAATGCAATCACATTTAATACCAGAATTAAAGTTATCTTCACCCTTCAATTTGAAAATACATAAATAATAACACAAACAAACAGAAATATTTTCACACAAATTATCTTTAAATTATCAAATACAAAGTAACACAAATTTAAACAAGCATATCAAAAAGCTATTGAGGCATGGTAGGTTGATTGTCCCTGCCAAAAACTGTCATGTGGTGTGGAATAACATGAACACACAGTAACAACTTATACAGCAGAAGAGGAAAAGTTAAAGTAATTGTTTGGGATAGTAACGCAATCCCTTAAAACCAATTATAAAACATACCAAGTTTGAGCTTCTTTTGAATGAGAAATTGTTTTCTATATATACCGTATACAGTAGATGTTGATGTACTCATGCAGCTTTTTTTTTAAATGCTAATGGATTTGTTTATAAAATAATAAAAATCCAAAGTGATTTGAGGAGCAAGATAACTCCACGATAAGTCAAAGTGATAGCAAGTTCCTCAATCTTGTATATTAATTGAATTGACATTTTGCTGTAAATGCATGTAGTAGCACCTGTCTGTCAAAGAATTGCTCATAAAAAAGCAAATAATCATGTAACGTGGCAACACTCAGAGCACTCCACTCTCATTAGGGACTTTTAGATTTGCTTGGACTGATACGTGTGACGTCCATTCAAGGCAGTGCATTACAAGTACGTCGATCGTAGCAATCCACGTTGTCGTTCGACAATTCTAAAAGTCCCTATTACTAGCTGCAGCTCAGCAGCTACATGTACATTCAAAGATTTCTATAGTACCGAGGTATTCAATCATTATAATATCAGGTTCACGTAACCATGGAAAAGGAACATTCCCATTTACATCTCAAGAGGAACAAAACCTTGATATAAACAGGCACTGAATTATTTTAGCACCGAGGCATTCAATCATCATTATATCAGGTACACGTAACCATGGAAAAGGAACATTCCCATTTACATCTCACGAGGAACAAAACCTTGATATAAACGGACACTGAATGGTAGATAGTACCAGTCTGAGATACAGAATCTCAATATGTGGATTGAAAGCCAAGTATTAATGAACAAATGCACCTGTACCATGACAGGGACATGTTTTGGATATATATATGCAAACTTTGCTTCTAAACATTCATGCATTCAATTCAATTCAATTCAATTTCGTATTTATTGTCCATTTCTGGATATTTGGTTTTCACTGGTGTAACATATACAGGTTAACATTTACTAATGAATTTACAAAAATGTAGACATTAACAGTAAATAAACAAGGTTTAACATATGATTAAGCACAGATTAACAGAGGATCGGATGTTGTTTTATAAACACTAATTCAGAACAATGGTTAACATAGTAAATGAAGCAGAGCAAAAGGAGGTGTCAGGTGATCAACAAATTACCAGGTGAGATAAATGTAAATATACTGAGGAGGTTTGGTATCCAATCTACCCATACATGTATTTTCGTCTTAAACCAATTTGGGAATTATTAATTAGATTAAATATGATATTAAAGTACAACACTGGGTCTTCGAGACATTCCGTTGTACATATGGATAGAGTTTGATATGAATGATTGCCGAGTTCTCACTTGTGCAAACCTGGGCACACACAAACGAAAGCCTGACCTATTATAATTGTAATTAGTGTGAAGCGGGTGGGTGGGGTCGTTCATGATTCGTTTGACTTTAGCAAGTACTCTTTCTTCATACAGTATGGATACTGCGTGTAGGCTACTGCCAATTATCCGTTGTGCTACTCTCCTCGTACCATCTAACTTCTTCTTATCTTTTTGAATTGCATTCCCAAAATAGCATATTATGTTATACATGTATGTAGCTACACTCTCTATCAATGATCTATAGTATAGAGTCAGAATTGTTTTGTAGGTAGGGCTGGTTTTGTTCTCCATTGTTGTTAAGACTCTGAAGTAATTAATGGACTTGTTTTGAATCACTTGGTTTTAATACTGCAAGTTTTTCCTGATTGGATGTGTTAGGTGGGAGAATGAACCTAAATGACATCTCAGTGTATTTGGACAATCTATTTACTGGCTCGACTTTCCTATCCTCTTGAACAAAGCAAATTATTTTTAGAATTAAACTATGAAATGAAATATTATCTATTGGAATCCATCCAACTATATTCATTAATCAGACAAAGAATACCCTTATTGGAACATTATTAATATTTGGTGAATGTGAAATTTCAGCAACATTATTACTCTTTTCACACTGGTTTTGCTCAATCCCGTACTTTGCGTAGCCCCGTACTATCCTTAACCCCAGACTATTTTTTTTGGCTTTTCACACACGCTGTTTTCAGTCCCGTACTAGCGCCTATTCCGGAATAAGAAAATTCACGCTGTTCTCACTGCAATTTGTTAACCCCGGATATCGTGAATGTTATGATTGGACATACTTCGCATCTGGCCAGCTGCGATACGCTCCATTGCGTAGTACCAGACTATTTTTCGTTTCTGTTCTCATTCATTTGCTTGGCACCGCAATTGCAGGGTTAGCAGGAGTTAGCATCACAATTGCGGAGTAAGCCCTGCTATTTTGCAGGGTTAGTTAACCCCATACCATAGGTGGGGTTAGCCAACTTTAGCCCACTTTGGTAAAAGCCAGTCTGAACAGAAAGTGGAATAGGCTTAACCCTGTACTATAGGTGGGGCTAAGACCCCCCTTAACCCCACCTACAGTACGGGGTTAAGCAAAATATTGCCAGTGTGAAAACAGTACTAGTCTTTAGCAAATCAAGTTTGACCGACTTCAGACATGAAGGCATCTCTGATATTGGCAAAACAATTTAATTGCACCTCCATGTACTGTAAACATTAAATGTTCGCTCTGGGCCATGTCTGACCGACCGATTCATTAATAGGGATAAAAATATAAAGTGCCTATCCTCAATTTTAACCATATCAGAATGGAATGAAACCGCTAAATCCCTGTACACATAATACCATTCAGAACACAATTACTTTTCTCCTATGCTCACACCTTGCATATTAACTTGAGAAATTTCATTTGGAATCCAAGGATACTTGCTCATAAAAAATAATAATAATAAATTCATTTGATTCTATTTGCCGCCGCCACTATACTACATTAGGCAATGCCAATTGCCACCAAAGATAAACAGGATGTCCGCATCATGCACTTGTGCATAAATGTGTATATTGGGTGTGCGCTGCACTTGTGTTCATTTGATTATATTCACTCTTCTCCCTCGGTATTTGATGGGAGGGGGCGGGAGATTTCAACCGTTTTACATGACAAGGAATTCGACCTATACATATCCGTCTGTATAGCTAGTGAATCAACATAGTGGTATGCTCAAACTTTTGAGCATGGGATATTATAAAGAAAAATTGAATTTTCCAACAACATAACAACAACAAAAACTGCCAATAATACAAGTAAATGTCTTCAACAAAAACAATGCTAATAGAACATGTCACCTGTTTGGAACCAGAAGGGCATTAAAGGGAACCAAAACCTTCCTACTAAGTTACTTTTATTGTTTAAGATATTTGAATAAAATCAGTGAAAATTTGAAAAAGTCACATGATTTTACACTGCTCTTCTAGCTCCAAACAGATGAATTAGATGATGTTTCATATATTTCATTAATTAAAAGATAAAGATGAAAAAAGTAATACTTATTACCCCCCCCCCCCCCCCCCCCCCCTCTCTGGATAATAGAATGGGTAGTCCCATGTGTGTACACATTTGTTTGGAAAACATCTTTCTGGTTACTAGACTAGATTCCTGATTAAACTACAACTTTTTATATTCTATTACAATCATACAATGGACAAGTATTAGTTTGCAAGACTGTAATCTAAAAATGTATGTGTCTTATTGCAGGTTCTGTAAGCGCCCATAATGTGGCAAAACATGTAGCATGAACATACGATATTACAGCGTAGTGTACATTTACACTGTAGGCCTATACAATGTAAATGTACACAAATGTACATCTCGTCATATACATGTTCTATTTGTTATATAAATGCAAAGTTGCAAACAGCTCAACTTCCATCCATATCTCTACAAATGTTCACAGCTGATCAAACTTTTTCTTCTCCTCATCGTTTAATTGTTCAACCATGAATTCACAGAGTCAACACATTAATTGCATTTTTCTAATAGTAATAGCTCAAAGTGCGATGCCTCCAATGATAATAAAAGTACATGTACCATATGTCATCCTTCACACACACATTTCCCATTTTTACAACCTTTCCTCTTTCTCACCAGATTTCTAAATTTACTGTGTTTAAATTTCCTTTACCATTTATCTGGCGACAAAGCTCCAATCATGGCAGTATACTATAGCATTGCATGCCAATGACGACAAGCATTTGATAGGAGGCTGTGAAAACACTTTCTATATTTATACCAGAAATAGGACACTGATAAATTACATTCTCTTCTTCCACTTCGATGAAGGATGAAAGGTCACGACACCAGAAACCAAATTTGAGAGC